AAAGATTCAAAAACAGAAAAAACTAAACAACCATAAACAAAAAACTCGCGATGGCTCTACATGGTCAACAAACAAAAAAGAAAAAGGAAGAAAAAAATGCATGAGAAAGAAAAAAACACTGTGGAGTAGCGGTGGTTAAAAGACAAAAACAAAAATTACGAAGATAAAGCTGGTGGCGAGACCGTCTGCTGTTCCAAGAAAAACACGAAGTTAGTCAACCCAGTACTAATGGTCAGAATTTGTGCGTAGTATTTAGTGTAACCGAGAACTATCTTTGTTTGTACTGCAACACTCCTTTCACGCGAAATGTGCTTTGTCTTGTCGGGGGAGGGGGGGGGGGGGGGGGGGGAGGGGGGGCTGAAAATTTGTGAAGCTGAAAAAAAAAAGCCGTTGATTAACTCGATGCTGATTGGCTAAACCAGGTGATGACGTCACACCCCCTAGCTCGACGCCGGTGAACTGGTTCAGGCATGACGTCATGCGCGAGGCTACGCTCACTCGACGCCGATTGGCTGGTGAATGCACAATCACTCACGCGCCACCGCTCGCGCCTGCCAGACGGTGGTTGGATGTCGTCGGAGAAACATCTGCAGCTATGGAGGGTTCTGGAAGAGTGCCAGGGGTTTGAAACCTGGGTTAGCGCCGGTATCTCCATTCCAGGAATTGCTATCGAGTGTACATGTCACGCATTAAGCCAGTCACTAAACTAATTGACGATGAGCGCAGAGAGCGTAGATGTCAATCCCAGAGGAATCGGACTGAAACCACATGTTTCACGGGCAACACAATTTCCCAGCAAGTCTTTTTAAAACTCAGTTTCTTGTCAATTAAGCAAACATGTATATTCATTTCGATAATGACCTTCGATATTATAGGCACAGTTGTCTTACCCCTGCATACTAATATACTGAGAGTAGAATTGCGCAAAAATTCCAATTTTAGAATAGTGGTTTTGAATTATAGGCTATTCGATATTTGCTTCGAGATGAACTGCAATGTCCGTATGTTTCGAAGTATTGATCGCAGCGGGTTAGCCTCGTTGAGCGCGCTACTCACCAAGCACCTGCGCACTGCGGAGAAGTAACACTCACGGAGTGTGCTTCCACAGGTGTTGCTTGTCCAGATTGTACCGGTGCTAGGTAAGAAGTGCGTTTAAAGGAGGACACTACCCAAAACGGTAAAGTTTTGAACCTTTGAATAAATATGAATGAAATTTACAGCATATACTGGCAGTTTTGAGGCCTATACAGTGCAAAGTTTCATTTGTATAAATGAATTGTGAAATAAATTATAGTCAATTTTTCAGGAACAGACTGACATTGTTTAGAAAAACTATCATTAGAAAACTAATGTAGTACCCAACATTTTTCTTCTCTAGATATGCGGCAGAAGGCCTGGAGAGCAAAACTATGAAAACAAAATTTCAGAAAAGTGATTTATTTTATGCTAACATTGTGCTGAAAAATCAAATAAATTATTTGCCTTTTATGTTGTCGACAATATTTTAACATATTTTATAAGAGACATTCTCAAACTAAAAATACAATTCCACAGTTGCATTGCCCATTAAATTTGAGTAAGAAAAAACAATGAGTGAGCCTTTCCTTTTATATCATTACCAAACGATAGTTTTCCTAAGGCCCGCTTCAGACGGGGCAACTTTTCCAGCAATTTTGAGGTTGCTGGCGGGTTGTTCCCTAGCTTTCCCTAGATCGATGTGAATTGCTGAGATCGGGTCCGGCTCGAACAAGCGAGCAACTCGGAGCAATTCGAAGACGGTTGAAGCGGCTGCAGCCAATCAAAGACGCGATATTTTCACGTGACACCCCTGTGGTGGTGATGATGACAGCTAAAGACTTAGTTCTGGTTTGAAATTTTCGGAAATTTCGGAAATTTCGGAAATAAACAGTTTCAGAAAAATTAGTTAGTATTTTCAACGCTGTTCAAAGATATAAGCACGCGTTTTTAGCGCGTAGCTGGGCGTCTAAATAGTGAAAGAAAAATCAAATTTAATGATGATGATGGCAAGTCGGAGCAATTCGGTTGCTGCTAGTTGCTGCGTGTGAACGCGGGCGGCCCGTGTTGCTGGTGTTGCGACGTCAAGTTGCTGGGTGAAATTGCTCTGTCTGAAGCGGGCCTAAAGTGAAATTTATACCAAAAAGTGAAAAGGAGAAGAATGAATTCAAAGTGTTCAAACCTTTATCTTTTCTTTAGCACACGTGGACCAAAAATAATTTATAAAAGAAAAACAGTGCAGTGTAACCAGAAGAAACTTTTTGGAACTACTCCCTAGAGGTTGGTAAATGTAAATATAGTTTCCCTAGGATCGTGTCCGCTGGATAAGAAATGATGACACCGAACTCTGGACAGCTACTGCCATCTATGAGCGACGGCCACCAACAGACAACTGGTTGCCAGCGTCGCTCCTAGATGGCGGCAACTTTTCTTCGGAGGAAGAAGAGCGGGAGCGAAACGAGCGGCGATGTGCGCAGCAGCGCAAATGGTTCCACATATCTGTCCTATGTAAATTTTTGAAAACATGTTTTTTTTCTCAATGAGAACTTCAACTTTAAACAAAATAAAGTAGATAGCCCGATTCCCCAGTAAATAACCGTTCAGAAACATCTTGATTGTGGTATTAGAATACTTTTACCTCCGAACAAGATTCCTTTGTATGAAATTTGCAGCAAAAAGTGGAACTAAGAAAAATGCATTCAAACATTGAACTCCTTTACTTTGTTACAGCCTCACAATGTGTTGAAAATATTTTATAGCAACGTAGCTATTTGGCATATGTTTATCAAATTTAGTGTAAGGGTGTATAATCAGTTTCTAAAACCAAAAATTTCAAAATTGAAAAAAAAAAAAAAAATTCTTCGGAAAAATTTAAATTTAGGTTTCTTGTTATGAGAAGTTTCTATTTTTTTTAAATTTTGTAATAAGATTTATAAATCCCCTTGATTAAATATAGCTGGGCATCTCTGATGGTTTAATTTTTAGTCATATTCGTCGTTTACTTGCCATCCAAAATGGGCACTGGACTTTCTGAAGCCACACTGTCTATATAGTTTGATTAAAATTGACTAAGCTTACAAATAAAGTGGAAGAATAATTGAATAGTGAAAGGTTTGGAGACATTATTCAATTCGAATATGTTCAGCCAAAACTACTACTCACTTCGAATTCAATTCAAACACAAAATCCACTTTTTGTATATGCATACTTGGTAGTAAAAGTAGTTTGAAATATAGATTTCGTGCTGTCCTTGCTCTCTTTAGTTGACCACGGTGCTAGGGAGATAAGCCAACTTGCCTATTCGACAAGACAGTTTGGAGCAAAACATTCACGAAAAACGGTGATGTCAACCACAAAAATAAAACAGATTGAGTGACGAGAACACCAGAGTTGAGACACAGTTGTTTCAAAATTTTAGATATTTACATATTGCGAAAAGCAGCATGAAGATAAATATGTGTCCTGCCTGCCGCACACAAACTGCGATATCAGTGTTTACTTGGAGGAGAAAAGCAGAATTCCACTCTAAAAGCTGTAATACATCTCTAACAGAAAAAATACGTCCTTCACTGATGCACCTGTAAGTGTTCCTTTTTAGCATTCAAGGTGGAAAAAATTGCGATTGGTTTTTCCTTGGTCACCATGTAGGGAGATAGCCAAAGCCAATGCGTCATGAAGACTTTCCCTCTTAGTGGAGACTCCAGGCTCACAAGGGGTGCCGCAATAATTTTTCGCCCACGCACCGCTGGAGTTTCCGGTATTAGTCTCCAAAGTACATTCGCTTAACCTCTCATAAAGTGCTAGTACTGTACATAGAACCAGTCTTCAAAGGAAAACTAACAGCCCAAAAAAACATGTTAGTTTTTTTGTGCAAAACATTAGATTGTGTTGTCAAGATACAGAGAAGCTCAATGATACGTTTTTGGTTCATACATTTTCCTGGCCGCCACTTGTACCAATGCCGGTTCCACAGAACAGGGCCGTAACCAGGGGGGGGGTTAGGGGGTTCTGACCCCCCCCCCCCCCCGAAATGTTTTTCTGTGTACAGCCCTGGTCGGTGCACTTGCAGCCAGCCGATTTTAATCTCCACCTCTGCGCATGCGCAGTGGCGCCGGTCGGCTACCGGGTACCAAACCGGGACCGGTTCTCCGGTTTGCTATAACTCTCCATTATATGCCACCGATGAACATGATTCATAGGCGAAAATAAGACAATAGACATTTTCAAAATGGCCGCCGTTGTCCCCGAAAACCCCCCCCGAAATTTTTTTCTGGGTACGGCCCTGCCGCAGAACACCCATAGGAATATGCGTATTAACTGTCTGCTTGTTGCGTTTGCCTTACCAACCGTTACGTCCAAAGATAGTCATCCGACGAAGGCCGAGCGACGCCTTAGGCTGCTCAGCTGCCGCTTGTCGCTTCATCTTGCTCCACTTCTCTACAGTTGTCCACAGCCACGACAATCCATGTGGAACGGACTGTTGTCCACGAGTTGATTCCGGTCTCATCTACAACCTCCCGTGCTCTCCATTGCTATCTTTACCTGGATCAAAAGTTTTTATGGCACGGTCCGCGGAAAAACGTATCGACCAGCTTCTACTGTAGTGCCACCCACCGAAAACACTTTCTAACAGAGTGCACATTTCTAAAGAAAAATGTGCACAGTAAACCTGAAAACAGGGGACCAGTGTTGGGGACTGTGATGTAGGAGGGTCTGGGATTTGCCGGGAGTTGCTCGAGTTGTCTCACTCCCCGCGACTATGCATGTGTCATTTCCTTAAATCAACATTATGTTTCCGGTGTTTCGGTGGTCACAAAAATTACTTTTCACAGATTTTATATCTGTACCAACGAAAAGATGCTCCACACACCTAATTACATCATGAATACTCTGTGTCCTGCACTGTCATTGCGTGTGGCTGAGGAAGCGTGAAGTGGCCAATTCCTGAGGGGTAGCTTTCTTGAGGGAAAAAAAGGTTGGATTACCTTGGGGGGTCTTTGTGAGCAAAAGGGTTCTTTCGAATAAGTGCAGTAGCTTCTTTCTCGTTTCCTAGCAACTTGGCTATGAGGTGAATAAGCCATGGATTCTGCTCATAACTCTGAAAAAAAAAAAAGCACAAATACAGTGAAAATCATAACAATAAACAAAAGTCCATATCCATCGGTTCTCACACAGAACAAATTGAACAAGCCAAACTGAAACTTCAGATTGATCGCTTTGACTTGCCTAATTCCATTGTAAGAACGAAGTTTTCTGATGTCTTCTACACTGATATAATTACCTATACTCAATAATGTTGAAGATTGGGCTAGTTGGTATAAAGACATAATAAAAGCAAAAACAATGCAAAGACGAGGACAAAGTAAAAGGTAACCGACAGGACACAGCGCTGTGTGAACGATTCAGCGCGGTGCCCTGTCAGTTATTTCATACTTCGTCCTCATCTTCACATTGTTTTTGCTTTTACACATTCATGTTACTAAGCATTGCTGCTTGGATCTTACAATTGAACATTTTTAGTTGGATAATAAGATCCAACCAAAACTCTTACAATCATGTCTTTTGCACAAATGCTTTGCTTTGAAACTTGTAACATGTAGCTTATCAAGAACTCTCACCAATTGAGCCTCAACCCCAGCCCCAGCCCCAGCCCCAGCCCCAGCCCCAGCCCCCCCCCCCCCCCCCCCCCTTTTATGTAACGCTTTTAAAGAAGGCTTACCGAGGGAACATGGAAAAAAAAAAAATTTGCAAGCAATCTACTACAATGAATGTATGGGGTCAGTGGAGCAGTTCACTACCCACTGCAGAATTTCCTTTCCCCAAGATGTTCCAATCAGCGGCGCATGGGACACCATGTGCAAGTGTCCGCCCCTGAAGATTACAACGGCGACCCCCCCTTGTCAGTATCGAGGGGTCGGAGAAGAAGAACAACACAGACGCGGGAAAAGCAAGGAGGGACTCGAGCATTGAAGAATGGCTTCATCCATTGAAGACTGGCTTCATCCAGTTGTCCACAGAACTTTCTCATAATAAGAATTACAGAGAAGATTAAGGCACTGTCACAAATTCAGGCATTCCTTCATTTTTTCTTCATTTTGATGATTTTGTTTCGACCACTTTTAAGTGTCAGTACAGTCAGGGAGAGGGGGAGTGTGGTGCCACTTTTAATCTTCATTGTTTTCCTTCCTTAGTCCCTAAAGGGTTTGCTTGTTTGCAGGGCTGGTTTTGTTGGCGGCGGTGGGCGACGCTATGGCTACGTTTCATCTTTGGACAGTTTTGTGGTGTTGACCTCGCAGACGGAGGGGTGGGTGTGACAACTCGCAAATGTTGCCGACTTGGCACACGAGGGCACCGCCTGGATACTGGGTATCGCCGAGCTATCCTCGTTTTTCTCTTTTGTTCCCATATCAGAGATGTTTCCACTGGCTAGCGTGCTTTTTGGAGGCGGCTGCTCTGCTCAGCCTGCCACCAGTAGTGGTTGTCGTTTCCTGTGTAATGGGGGCTCGTACGGGGAAAGGGAACCACACGTGTTTGGTTGTTGGAAAATGTAATAGGTGTTGCCATTTGGATCGATGCCGGGTAGAATTTTTTGTTTTCTGGGAAGATTGCTGACCCGAAAGCCGGGGTCAGCATGTTTGTCGGTGGAAGAGCCTATACGAGAGGATTTTGTAACAAAGGAGTTGGAGCCCCGGAGCGGGCCGGGTCGCTGCTACCGACGCGTTTCTTCGGTGTACGTGAGTCTTGGGGTATTTTTTTCCGTTTGAAGTTTCTGTCTTGCCTGTCGAGTTTTCTTTGTTTCTTGGTGTGCTGGTGGGAGTGTGAGCGTGGAGTGTGGTGATGACTCCTCTCTGAGCGTCAGACAAACATTTTGAACACCGAGACGACCCCCTTCTCTGGCCGACGACTACAGGCTTCTGGCAGCGTCAGCAAGTCACAACTCGTTTCTTCAAACATTCGGCTTCAGCCTCTGGCACTGGAGTACGAAGTGGGGAAATTTTGAACGTTTTAGAGCAGTGCCAATTTCTGGTCGTTGCTGGGTTTTCATGGGGTGATCCCGTGTGGTGTAGCGGTAGCGTTCACGGTCAATTGCTTGCTCTCTTTGTTTCATCAGCGTTGAGTTTGTCGTCCCTTGAATTTTTTCTTTATTTCTTGGTTTGTTTTATGGGGTCGAGTCTTGTGTGCGTTAATCTCTGGCTCGCATGAAATCTGTAGCTTTGCACTCAGGGTGTGTTTCTGTTGGTGTTGGGGTTGCCATGTGTGGCTGAGTTTACTCAAGCATTAAATTTAGTTGTGTTAGTTTGCTATCCTCTCAGATCCTGGCCTCTTTGCTTTTTTTTTTTTGCTTTTTTTTTTAATCTCTAGTCACCGGTCCAAGCTAGCTCTTCTGTTCTTTTTAAGTAATTTTTTTGTTTAACCTCAAAGTCAGTCAACACTATTTTCTTTTTTCTTTTTTTTCTTTTTATTTCACTCTTACTCTGTGACAAGCACGTTGGGGAACTTTCAAAATTTGAGAATGAGGACAAAAAGGGAATGACACACAGTCAGGCCTCGATAGCTCTGTGTGTCGCCCCCTTTATCATTCCTGGTTCTCGGAAAACAAAAAAGAAAGTTCCTTGTAGTTTATAATGTCCAAAAATAAGTCGTGCATTTATATATCCATGTTTAAGAGTCACGCATTCTAAAGCAAGGTCATCCGTGACATTTTTACAACCTACTTATAGGTCTTTAAACAAAAGTTTGGTTGCAGCTCTAGTCGCCTGAGTAAAAAAGCATGCCATAAAAGAATATGACGGCTCTCGATTACACTGACACATGCCCGGATGCAAAGCTCTCACAAATCGTGAACCATGCACGAAGGTGTTGGAACCAGCGGCTTGCCGCTGACGAGGGAACCACTAGTCCTTTTCTTAGTTTATCACATTTTGCTATACAGATATATACTAATAAGAAATAACTGCCAAAAATACTCTACAATGTTAAAGAAAATGCCATTAAAACACAAGGAGACAGGTTTCGCCCAATTGACTAAAGCCAAAGAAGTAGTTAAGGCAGGAAAGTGCGTCCACAGCGTCTTGAGAATTTGGATAAAATAAGGTACAGTTCAACGACCGATCGACCTACTTTACTCATACTCTCTCATTGATATTTTAGTTTCGCTTATAAGCAGTCTTTCTTTTCGTAATTCAGAAAATATAAAAGTGAGAAAGGCAGACAGCTACAAAATGAGTGTACGAGGGCAGAAACCACAGATTAAAAAAGCTAAGAAACTCACTCTTAATAATACCCCCCCCCCCCCTAACTTACAAAAACAAAACAAAAAATCTCCAGATTTATCAAAAGTACACCACAAAATACTAATACCCCAAAATAAACTCGTGTACAAAGCCCCAATTACAATTGATTCCCGGCGACAATCACTGATCAACGACTACCTACTGATTCATTAACATTGACAATAAATCCAGGCTCTATCTGTCTTTGGTATTAGTAAATTTTTGGCCATTTATTTTTCTAGACTTTGCCATTTATCTATTCCTTCATCTCCGATAGTTTGCGCTATCATCACCTAAACTTAAAAATACAACTTAGCTCTCGATAGGTAATGCGTGGCGTGTTTGCTCTATTCTAGAGTTAAATAAAAATCAGTTTTAGCGTGCTGTCCGCTATCTCTATCTGGGGCTTTAATTCAACTGATCAATTTAGTCTTATCCAGAAACATCCATCGTTATTAAAAAAATCTGCATATAGTATTTAAGAGATTAGCTGAGAGCGGATCCGTTGACAAGCTGGATTTTTTAAGCCGGAGGTTGCTCATGATGACTGGGACATGAGTTGCCCGAATAAACACAGACGTCAGAGGTTAATCTTTTTTTTCTTCGAACTGCCGTGATCAATGTCCTTTATAAAAAAAAATTCACAATTTTCTTTGTTATTTTCTTGATCCATATCAGCCAGCTATGACATAATAAAAAAGGGAGTTGGTGGCGAGCTCTCAATCATGTGCGCAGGATGTCACATGTGAAGGAAATGCCAAAGCCAGCAGTGACTGGGCGGTCTCTGACGTCCCTCTTCCTACGTGTGGGGTGGTCAGACATGTGTTATGGTCCGCGAGTCGGTTGTGTTGACGACTTGGTGTGAATATGTTTCGCGGCACTGCATTGTCCAAAAGCGAACGCCCCACTCTCTTGTCTCCAACTCCCAACTTCTTCAGAGGGTGGCCACCACCACTTATGGCCGGTTCTTTTGTGAAGCGTCCATACAAATAAATAATTAAAGGCAGAAAGCTCCGCCTTGAGCGCCGGCTTTCTGCCTTTGATAGCACTTCAGTGCACGCGCAACCAAAACCCGGCGGCCTCAATGCCTGAATTTCTTATCTACAAAGGACACATCACACGCCCCGCTTTTCAAACACTACACTGTTTGCGTTGTACTAAGTGTATCCACAGGTAACTTACCAGCAACATGTATTTTTAAATATGCTGACTGATGAACTGGCTTTCCCATTTTTTTAAACCGTTACTCGTAATAAAACAAAACAAGACTCCCGAACCTTTTTATGATAAGTACATCACCGACACTCGAAACCATGAAGTTCTGTACACACACACACACTCTCTCTCTCTCTCTCTTTCTCTCTCTCTCTCTCTCTCTCTCTCTCTATATATATATATATATATATATATATATATATATATATATATATATATATATATATATATATAACAACGTACCGCGTATTGTAACCTGAACTTTGCAGTCTTTCTAATATACCGGATGTTGCACCAACGATTGAGAATAGGGCAAAATATTAAAACTTTTTGCTTCCGTGTCTCCGGTTCGATTATGTTGCCTAATATTCAGCAGATCATCTGCGTCCTCAATCTCTCAATCTTTCGACTGAGAATCAATAAAAAAATGATGTCACTTGAAAAAAAAAATGCTGCCTTCGATAAAACGTTGTCGACCGTGGTGCGGACGTCAGGGTATGAACAAGAAGTGATAATTAACAATCATATTACATAAAATGCACTACTTAACCTTTTTTTACACAGATGCCTTATCTGGCACATTCTTATTCAAGCTTTGTGTGTGTATATATATATATATATAAGGGCTTAGTTTTTTATATATATGAAGCGATTTTTAAGATGCCTGCCACTGGATGCCTGCTCGGACTTTGAATGGATTCACGCCCTTCCAATGGGTGGCACTTCGAAATATTATACGGTGCAACCCACTTATAACGATAATGAGAAAACCAAAAATTTCAATTGTTATAACCGATTATCATTGTATCTGGACTAGAAACTGATCATTTCCAGTCTAGAAACTCTAAAAACTGATCGTTATAAGCGGTACATTGTTATATGTGGTATCATTATAAGTGGGTTGCACTGTAGAAATATCACACCTGTAATATTTGCAAAATACACCACCTATGGTGGCCTATGGAGCAAGGGCCACTGGCCTTTCTGTCACATTGCAGCTGTCACGAGCCAAGATAAATACCGTGGTCAGCAGTATACTCAGTATGGCTCAATGACAGAACTTTTAATAACACATAGAAATTCATTTTTTCCATGCGGCCAAAATTTGGTTTCAGTTCCACCACCCTAAAGAAAGTATGAATACTGTACTACGAGCGATGAGTGCAACCGAACACATAACTGTGGTCGGCCTTCCACGACTGGCCAACGCTCACTCTAATGGCTTGAGTAGGATTAACTCTGCTTTCATCGACAAAGATATGAGTAATGCCAGACTGTCGGCTGATGATGTTAGAAGGCCGTCACTTTAAGCTTCCACCATGCATTTTAGACGCACCTTCGAACTTGTCGCTCGTAACTGATAATTCTGGTCATGACATCAGGAAGGATCTGCCACCAACACACCTTAATTGTCACCAATAGATGAAGCAATCACTTACCTGGAATGCAGCAAACCACATGAGCCAGTCAAGCCTGTAGTGGTAAGGTGTGATGAGACAAGGACGGTGAAAGACGTTCCCAGGCTTGCAGAAAAATTCATACTCTTCCCAAACTGCGCTTTTGTTGTAGGGGTTTTCACTGTATGTTCCTTGTAATATCACTTCTGTCCTTCTCTTTGTGATGCTAAGAAAAGGAAGAAAGGACGGAAGACAAACTAGAGCTTTTTAGCTACATCAACACTTGGAAAATTTACCTATAGAATATTCATTAACATCACATATTTATTAGTCTAACCATTCTTTTTTGCTTTGTCATCAGTCATCTGCCTTTTGGTAATGTCTTCCAAGCCACACCTTTTCAGGGAATTATCAGTGACCAAATCAAGTCCCCGGTAATGACCTGCCCTGGAGCCTAAATGTAAAAGAAAACGGCAAGTCCCCGCTTCCTAAATTCAGGTTTAACCGGGATGCCGCTACCTCCGATTGGGTGAAAATTTATTGAGCAAAATTGTGTTTTATTGAAATGCCTTCAACCCTATAAGTAGCATGTAAAAACCGCTCACCTTCCAAATGCTCCATACGTGTTGACCAAGCGAAGGGGTTCGAACGAAGTGTTCATCCGCTGGTGAGGCGAGACAAGATTCGCCACAACCGGCACACTCAAGAAAGCCAGGCACAGTCCAAGCGCCAGATTGGTAATGCTCCTTGCCTTGCCTGTACCCAAGGATCATGGCACTTGTTGGTACACTCTGTTCTTGGCATTTGGGGATTTGGGTAAAAAAGTAGCTGCACGTATGTTTAGAGAGCACGATGTCAGTCAGCCCCAATGGGTGTCTGCTGTCTCCGCTAGAGATGACAAATTTCGCCAGTGCAGTACCCCTGCTAGCCTATGATCTGCAACGGGCACCAGGCAGTAGGGATACACGACTGCATGCCGGTATACGATGCTCATCTAGATTAAAACGGTTCAGGATTTTGCTCAGAGAAAGAAAAACAGGTGATAACAATTATAACTTGTGCAATCTGTGATTACATAAAATTATTTATATAGAGATTTATATATAACTCCCTTTCCTATATTTCCAAACTCATGTTTTGAGAGAATGTTAATTGACAAAGAGAGACAAAAGATGTGCATTGCTACACCACAATTATACTAAAGTTCATATAACATCCATAAAAAAGAAAAAAAAAAAAAGAAAGTTGTTGCTTAATTAAAAAAAAAAGATTGAAAAAAAAAAAAACTAAAAAAAAAAAAAAAAAACTAAGATAATTTTTTACTGCTAATATAATTTCTTTCAATTTCAAGCTCTCCTCAGCTGTTAGCTTTAGCTCTGCCTGGTTGAAATATGTCACACCTTGAGAATGCCTCTAAAACCCCAGGTTGCACCCCTGGGCACACGGGGAGTTTTCTGGTGCCGAGAATGGCCTGACAACAACAAGGTCATATCAAGGCAACACCAGGGGATGTAAGCAGAGATTAGAGGATGGAAATGTAACGGGCAAAATATTTTCAGAGTTCACATTCTTGATTTTTTTTCCATAGTATGCAACTTAGACTTCGGTATGTGTCTAAGGCTTCAGCTCATATGAGGAGTTTTTTTTTATCTAAAAGAGCCAAATCCAGAAATCAGAAATAACCAAGCAAAATTCGGCCGGAATTCATAGTGTACGGGTATTGTTTCCAAAAGGTATTAATCTGAAGTCGGCCTTATTATGTGAGAATAACCAATGTAAAGGTGGCCGCGATACAGGGCTCAAAGCTAGTCTGATAAGCACATATTCCTGTTTATCTCTGTTTCGCCTCACATTGATTTGGCTCTTTAGGGAAAAAAAAAAAAAAAGCTCCTCACATCTTCCTTATATGGTTGTTTTAAGATTTATGATAAGATCATGTGCAGAAAACTAAAAGCAAGAAAAAAGCAGCTGACAATTATTTAATTAAAGACTGACGACCAGTTCGCGCTTTCCACTTTTCGCCCGCTTCCTCCTCTCCCTCCTCCCCTTTCCACCCACGCCCGCCCCTCTTGGTCCCTTCTTTCCATCCTTCACTTCCCTCGCCCGAAGGCGTGGAGAAGAGGGTCTTCTGCCTTGCAGAATCTCGAGTCTGGTCGTCGGCCTTTAAGCAAGACAGGAAGCAACCCACTTGACTTCAGCTTTCCCGAAAAGCTGTCGCTGGCCAGTGCTGAAGCCGCTAGAGAGGTTTTCTCGCTGAACAGCCGCTTCAAGGCAGCGTCGTCGAAGTAGGCAATAGAGGGCAGGATGGTGAGCCAGTTGAGAAAGCTTAGGTTCCCGCTGATGATTAAAATGACCTATTATCAACAAAAGAACTGTAGGCATGTGCCAGATGACAAACTGCAGAAAAAGAGTTCTCCCAACACCTCACCTGAAACAAAAACTGCAGAGTTCCACACGCAAGTCTAAATGGTCTTGTGAAAAAGAGGAACCAAGGAACAATCAACTCGATGAAATGATTTCCTAGGACTTCCATGGCATGTATAATTGCTGGAGACTGGTGGAGGCAGTAGCTGACTGGACTAGGCACTGGCTGAGTCTGGAAGGAATGGATATCCATCGAATTGAGATACATACACCTGTGTAATGAAAACTACACAGCCCAGTCTTTAGCAAACAGGCAAATCAATGCTGCAAACTTTACCTAGGCTCGCAACATGTAGCCACCCCTTTCACAGCCAAGTAGGTCAGTGTCAATCTGGTCTATAAATTAATAAAACCTTCACACGGATTGAAAAAGCCGGCAATTTCATTAAACCCTCGACGCATTCGCTTTTGTGAGCCCACAGGCTTTTCATTTTGCCTCCTTACGCAGTATATTTTGAATGATGCAGCAAGCATTCAAAGGCAAAAAGGACTACCCATACCTCGTAATGGTAGTTCATGCATGTCAACTGCATCCAGCATTTGTCGCCGCGTATTTTGATCAGACCCTGGAAACAGAAAAACTTAATCTCAGACTCATAGTTTAGGGAAGAAACGAGAACGCACATTTATGATGTCACTCACAGCGCCGAGCATGATGCGAAAGAGGAGCCAGCGGTATGCCCAGACAACAACCCGGGGTGGTGGCGTGCAGCGGGGAAGCTGCTTCCAGGTCACGAGGGGGCAGAAAAAAATGGCCAGAAAGCCAGTCTCCAAGAGCTGAGACTCCCAACCTTCGCACAAGGAAAAATGCACTCCTGACAACTGCACTACTCACACAAAACAGATTAATGACACAAAAGCACAATGCCAGCAGATGTCAGAGGAAAGGTACTCACCAAAGGAATACCTACAGTGCCAAAGAAAAGGACAAGACAATTTTAGAAATGCGAGTTGGAGATTATGGCTACTACAGTGCTACACTAATGCATGAAAATAAAAGGAATGTAGCCAGAAAGGTAAGGTACTACAGTACTCTTCATTAATTCAAACTCCAGGAAGCGACTAATTTTGTTCGAATAACCAGAAGTTTGATTATCATATATTAAACTCACTATGATGCAAGATAAAATTATGATTTGTTATATGAATGGCTGCACATACAAAGCAGATATTTGACGATTTCCTCTATATAGGCCTACTAATCATAAGCCAGTATACCACACATGAAACATTGGTGAAAAGTAAATAACGAGTTATTCATCCCTCAAAAAAGTTGTCTATCATGGAATGTTTAGACAGCACATGACACCTCAAAACAATGTGCAATTTTGTTCATCCAGCAAAAACGTTGTCTTATGAGAACTATTAGCCCGTTGAGTGCGCTTCTTATCGAGCACCGATGCACTGGAGAGAAACAACACCCACGGAAGCGAGCTCCGTGGGTGTTACTTCTTCACAGTGCACCGGTGCTCAGAAAGTGCGCTCAACGGGGCTGCGAGAATAAAAAGTATGAATTACATGAATCGCTGTGGCTCATAAAATCATTAAAAACATAGCGAGCCAAAAAAATTTTCAAATTTGTTTTAAAATAATTAGAAGTATGTAATATCCTAGTATGAACTATTGAGAGACTACTGCAGGGTATTTTATGAGACTCATATCACAAATGGAAACCACACAAATAAAAAGGTATGAACAGGCACAAATAAAACACGAACAGCGGAGCGTGTGACCTTCAATACATGCTGCACTACCTGGACCTTGGCAAAACTCACACATGAGTGCACTCACTTACCCTTAGCCTCAGGCGTGCACCAAGGGTAAGTTCATAAGCCTTTCGGTTGAGTGAGGGATGCGAGGTTGATGAAGAGCACAAGGTCGGTGAGGGTGTGAAGTTGATAAGTTCATAAGTTTGGTTAAGGCATGAGTCCTATGAGCGCATAAATGAAGTCGCTGAGAGGCCATGAGTTAGATGAGGGCCAGAGTTTGATGAAGATTTGCTGGGTGATGCTGAGGAAGGGCGAAGTAGAACTTTTAGTGGATCATGCGACTTCTCCGGTCATTTTCAATCAAGCTGAGTCAATATTCGCTTCGCAATGGTGCCGTTTGCAAGTTTGGTTGATTACAAGGGTTCCGTGTTTCTGAATAAATCCGGAAAACTAAAAAAAAACATCCGCTGGTAAAATTATTGTAGATTCGGATTTATCTGATAAACTCGAAATTTCGATGTACCAATGCCAAAAAAAGACGGTTGTTTACAATTAAGTTTGGACAGCGCACAAGGTCAATGGTCTTGAAAAAATGTCACCCCCGTTTTCTTTCAAATCTCAGACCACTGACAAAAGGAATCTTACCGCTTACCTCGTCAAGGTTCACCAGGACAACAGGTCTTTCAGGTCACGACAAAAGCCACTGTTTCGGTTTCCAGCATAGGCCATACTATTTGTGCTTCTTAGAGGAAGGAGGGGTTGTGTTTGTGTAACAGCGAAAGCAGTGACTCATAAAGATTTGATAGAAGGAAGAAAAGCGGGCGATGCTTCTATATTTTACCCTTTGCCGCTCTACCCAGCGCAGCCGCAGGGTAGGTTGATAGATGGATGGGATGAATACCAGCTTCCTAGCGACTACACCGACTACACCGCCAGGAGTTTATTGATTTTAAGGTTTCGACGTTTATTGAAGAAACACTTGTTTGCTGCCAATAGCAATGGTGCCAACGCCAAATCCAGCCTAAGAAATATTAATTGATACAAGCTCGTTCTTTTGAACCTAGCACACATTTACACCCGGATTCCTTTTTTATTATTATTTTTTTTTAATAAAAAATACACAGCAATATTAAGCTTTGACCTTCAAAGAACTGGGAATCGAAGAAATATGAACTCCAATAAACACCCCCAGAATTTGGAAAAAAAAAAAAAAAACTCTGATAAACACCCTTTGAATCAGGCAAAAAATAAACTCCAATAAACACCCTCCAAATTTGGCGAAAAATAAACTCAGAAAACACGGAATCCTACCGAATACCTATGAGTCATGGCGAAGGAGAAAGGAGGTGCTGACAGGGCTGTTGGCTCCCCCCAGTTCGCTATGCAACGGCTTGGTGTGGTCTTTCACAGCTGGTTGCTGCTTCAATAGTGGGGCGACGGGTGAGGCAGGGCTCGTCCGTTCCCAGGCCGATGGCGCAACACCGATAAATGCGCAGCATTTTGTTGTTTCATGGAGAAGTGGGCACTACGCCGGAAGAGCCGAGAGATGAAGTGGCAAATCGCTACTTAGAGCACGCTTACCTTAGGCACGGCGTGAGGGCGCGAGTTTGGTGAGAATGTGAGGCCAATGAGGACGTGAGTTTGGTGAGGGCATGAGTTCAATGAGGTTGCGAGTTCAGTGAGGGCATGAGGTCAATGAGGTTGCGAAATCAGTGAAGGCATGAGGACATGGGTTCGATGTGGGCATGAGGCTGACGAGGTTGCGAGTTCAGCGGGGGCATGAGGTCGGTGAGGATGCAAGTTTGGTGAGGGCATGTGTTTACGAGTTCCGTGAGGACATGAGGTCAGCGAGTTCGGGAAGGGTGCGACGTCGTGAGTTTGGCGATAGCACAAGCTCACGAGTTCAGTGAGGGCATCAGGTCAGCAAGGGCGTGAGGTCGAGGAGGGCATGAGTTCGGCAAGAATGTGAGGTCAGTGAGGACGTTAGTTTGGTAAGGACGTGAGTTGGGCAAGGGCGTAAGTTTAGTGAAGCATGAGGACGCAAGTCCAGTAAGGTTGTGAGTTCGGACAAGGCATGAGGATGCGAGTTAAGCGAGGATGTGAGTTCAGAACATGAGGATGTAAGTTCGGGCAGGGCGCGAGTTCGGTGAGGGCATGAGCTCGGTGAGAACAAAAGTGTACGAGTTCATGAGTTCAGGAACACATGAAGTTGGTGATAAAACGGCGGAGTGGAGAGGGGGTGCTGCAAGGGTTTGTGCTTACTCCGATGTGCATACCCTTGCAGCCCCTTCTCCACTCTGCAGTTTTATCATCCTCCAGGTAGCGCAGCATGTATCAAAGGCCACATGCTCCACCGTTCATGTTTCATTCATGCCCAAACATACTCATTTGCCTAAGGGGTCACTCATACAACAAACACTGATACTTCCCCCACAAAAAGTGATTCTAGCCACTAGTATTTGTTTTTCAGACTGCATATTTCTTTCACATACATTTGTCCAGTACTATGGGTGATCCACCATGTTAGTTTTAAAACATTAAGTCATAAGATGCCACTCCTAACTTTCATATTTCAAAACAAATCGGGTTACACCCGAGTTTGCTAAAACACGTTCAGGGTGCAGTTCTTGGTTGAAGCTTTGCCCGAAAATGTAAAATCTTCAAACCAACTCGTTGTTTACAAACAAGCACATCGCTCCATAAGAGCTATGTGCAGAGTGCATGTGCAAAAACCTGTTTTTCAAAGAATAATGCACCTGCATATAACACCCATTGACACCACCAGTGCTACATGATAGTCTACCAGTTAATATTAGTCTAGCAACACAATGTGTTTCAATACGTTCCTCAAGGTTGCACTAAGCTGGCTACGTTGCTCAAAAACATTTGACACAAACAAGTCAAACCTGGGGTTCCTCCGTACCAAACCAACGAAGGGTATTTGGCATGCCCCAGTCGAGGACTGAGGAATAATTTAGACCACCTGATTATTTTTTGACAAGAACCAAAATTTCAGATACCATGGCACCTTCTCCGAAATAAACCTCAGTCAGGTTGCAAGCACCTCAGCTGGGATTCGAACCTGCCAACTGCAGATCCACAGGCAAGCATTCTGCCACTGAGTTACCGAGGTGGCTTATTTGACACACAATAAAGGTGTGCTAGGCTTCGGAGAATTACAATACTAACATGCAAATAACAGCAATTTTGCGAGGACGTGCAAGTACGCCAGAACAGCGATGAAAAAGACAAAACTAAAAAGAAACTGGAATGTACCACTGCTGGCCAATATTCACGATGGAGTGGTACAAAGCCCACAAGAGGAACATTGCAAGAGCATTGGCAGCACCGGTCACCGTCACTCCCAAGGCCAGAAGGAATCCCAGGGATGCAACGCCATCGAGGAAAGAGTCGGTGCCCATGTGTTCCAAGAACCATAGCAATGTTGGCACCTGGAAGACTGCTTGAGCATTCACACCTCCTGCATACCGTTTCACCTGCAACAAACAAGAAACCACAAACATCCACTTTCGCATGAAAGATACTTTTATTTTGTGGTAAAGCGACTTGCTTACCTCTCTCAAGAACAGATGTGCAGGAAGGAGGCCCTTACTTCCAATCAAATACTTGTTTTGGTTGAGAGCAACCAGGAAGGCAATCGCTGCAAAGACGAACCACTCCATTTTGTCACCATCGAGCATATACCGTAGAATACCACGCATCCGCCCTTTCCACATTAAGCACCCACACCCAAAATTGTAAGATCTGAGGAAATACGTGCAGTACATTTATATGTAAAATTGATGACCGGACAAGTGCCCATCCCCTTTTTTTTTGCGGTTATATCTAAATTTTGAGTGGGCGCTTGCCCGGGATTTTACGGTAGTGTCATTTATAAAAATGAGGGAGACGTCAGCTCACAATAAAAACTGGATACTTCTTTTGTAATGCAAGCCTCGTATGTCGACCATTAGCCCCCCCATCCGGTGTCACCCTTTGGGACTCTCAACCACATTCCGGATAACAGATGCCTGGCACCATCGGGGTATAGACCCACTTTCCCTCCTGCTTGTAATGAACCTCCTTAGTGACTTTTCACCACACAGTCCTTCAGCTAGGGTGGCATGGCGTTTTGGGCCATTCCGATTGGGTCTTGGCGGCCCCATGCTGACCTAACTTCAATATCTCAGCACTGGACACGATGGCACACGAGATTTGAGAATTATCTGATTGCCTCCCACATCATGGATGACCAGAGAAAGCGGACACTGTGGTTGCACATTGCGGGAAAGGACGTTTTTGAGATTTTTATTATGCTCCCAAACATGGGCACTCATTACGGGATCACTACCGAGAAACTGAAAGCTCACTTTGGTATCAAAAACAAATGTAATTTTCAAGAGATGTATTTCGGCAAGCGAAGCATGACTCTCAGAAACCATCGACTGATTTTATGTACATCTGTGGCAACTAGTCCCAATGTGCAAGTTTGCCGATGTTGACAGGGGTGTCCTGTCAAAGAAAGATTATAGAAGGCGCCATGTCAACCCAACTGAGCAGAAATGTACTTTGAGAACCAGACATTGCACTGGAGCAGCCACTACTTGAAAAGCACAGCCTCGGTAGTGCTGAAAGACAAGCCGCCAATATGGAGAGAAATGTGTCTGTGCCGGTGAAGTTATCACCAAAGAAACAGTGGCCCCACGAAGCCATGGAAAAAAGAAGTCCCCCAGACAAAGACGTGCACATGTTGTGGAGGACTGTGGCCACATGATGGAAGAAAGGAGTGTCCAGCATGGGGAACCACTTGCCACAGCTGCAACAAGAAACACTTCGCTAAGATGTCCAGAATACTCAGAGAAGAGCAAGTCAAGTTTGTTTTAAGGACTGAAACAAACCCGGAACAAAGATGCCTCTACAGAAACATACTATGTGTAGCAGAAATACTCCAAGATCCCCACTGTGACTGCAGAAATAGGAGTCAAGATGGAATTCCATGTGGACTCTGGAGCCGACAACGTGGGGGAAACAGTTGAGAGACAACCTAAGAGAACATATCTAAAAGACCGACAAACACCTAGTAATGCTCTATGGAACAGCCTCGTCCAGTGGTCGGGACGTTTAAAGTCACGATAAAAGCTTGAGAGTACACAGTCCACATGAATGTCTAATTATCAAGGGACATCACGCATCTCTTCTGATGTTTACCGACAGAAACAAACTTGAGACTCATTCAGGTGCTCAATGGCATTGAAGAGTTGATCCTTTCAAAGTGTTTCGAAGCCTCTTCACTGGATTGAGAAAACTGAAGAGTTTCCAGGTCAAGCTCCACATGAGGCAGGATACCAAACCAGTTGCTCACCCACAAAGAAGAGTTCCATTCAAGTTGTAAAATGGAGCTGAAGTGGAGCTGAAGACAAGCTTAAAAGACTGGAAGAACTAGATATCACTCACTATGGTGGTAGTATCAAAACACAATCCCCAAGCTGTGAGCATGTGTGTGGATAGGAGGGAGCCAAATATTGCTATAGAACAAGAAACACATGTCATGCCTACAGTTGAAGATGTCATTGATGTCCTGAATGTTGCCAAGTACCTAATCTTGACCTGAATGAATTGTTACCTAGAGCACTATATAGCTCCTACGGAGCAGAGTAGCGCAATCCTTTGAACCCCGTGTTTTGCCGACAACATGGCCGACAGAGCAGCTCGGCGCGAGTCACGTGGTACTCAGGGTTCCAAGAGGCGGCCCGCCCTATGGGAGAATACATGGAGATCGACATAACACGGCTGATTAAAAAAATAACGGCGAGTTCACACTTTTCAAAACTAGCCTGTCGTGAAGTTAGTAAAGCGCTGAACACTTTATCAAAGTTTGAATAATATCGGATGCGTGTGCAAATTTTGAGAAGGCAATTTCCAGGGCAATGGCGTTTGAAGCAGACGATGTTTGCTCGCAGCGGAGATGGGCTTTTCGGGTTGGCCGGAGCGGGTCACGTGAATGGTGTGACGTCGCCGCGTCGTCTGCTGCATGATGCCGCTCAGGCAATTTTTTTAAAAAAGTTACGTCCTTGCATGGCACAAAACTTATCGCAAATTATTCTAAAATGTTTCATTATTATGTCAAAAATGATTGCCATTCCGTACATCCCCACAAAACTGAAGGAACAACGATTTTCTCACGTTCTCCATGCATTTCTGACCGCAGTTGGAACCTCCGGGCGTTCGCCGCTAGTCGCCGAGAGACGGCGTTCTAGATTGCGCTACTCTGCTCCGAAGGAGCTATATAGTGCTCTATTGTTACCATCAGCTGGAACTCGATGAGCCACCAAATCAAATAACCACACAAAGGTCACAGAAGATCCAAGAAACTTCCCTTTGGAGTAAACTCTGCAGCAAAAAAAATGTTCAGGTCGTCCGACATATTCTTTTTGATGAAAAGGGCATAATCAACATAAGTGCATGACATCTTGGTCCCAAAGCGAACAGTAGAAAAACATAACAAACTTCGTCTAGTTCTAAAGGCTCTCCAGAATGCCGGACTAACCCTAAAAGGCAAGAAGTATGGGATCGGTGCAGGCCCCCTCAAGTTCTTTGGACATGTTCTCAGCATCTGGGACCACTGTGGACCCTGCCAAGGAGTGACTCAGACGGCCCCGCTGAACACTTAATCTAAGGTCCAAAGCCTGCTGGGAATGATTAACTACAGCAGTAGGTTCATCCCGGAACCAGAGCAAATAGTCAAACCTGTCCAGGTGCCGACTCACGCCAAGAGTGTCTTCAAATGGACCAGAGGGCACCAAGAGACCCTAGGTAAGGTCAAGAACGCCATTCTAGAAGAGGATAAAAAGGGTGTCGGACAAAGAGGAGGGAAGAAGAGCCCTTAAGGTCTTTCGTTCACATTCATCAGGAGATGACCATCACTGACAACAATGTCATCCTCAAAGGCACGAGGCTGGTACGTCCAGAGATATCCGAGAGCTATAGAAATCGCCAAAGAGGATACTAAGGTGCGGTGAAGATGAAGCAGCTCATAGTAGAATCTGTGGTGAAGAACAGCCAATTAAGCCTGTCAGAGCAGTGTCAAGAGAAACCACCACCACTCAAAATGACAGATCTTGCCACAGGGCCTTGGCAAGTGCTAGCAGCAGACTTTAAAGGTCCCTTTTAGGGAGGAAAGTATCTCCAGGCTGGATGAATACTCACGATTTTCCCCGGTGACGACCATGCCTTTATTGAACACAGAAAATGCAAGAAAAAGGTAGAACGAAAAAGCTGTAAACGGAACTGCAAGAGTACTACCTACTAAATTACAGGAAGACACCACAACGTATCGTGTATCTGTTGCGAGTGCGAATACCTTGATGCCTGGCTTTCTAGTTCTTTTTTAGGTCACCAGGCTCAATCTAAAATGGACGTAAAAATCGACGCCTGCACATAGCAACCTAAACTTTTCGTCAAAGGTGTATTTCACAGGTCAGTCTTTTCTTGTAAAATTACAAAGCATAGTTCTTTTTCTGTAAAAAATAGGGCTAAGAAACTTGCCAGGGTCTACGGCGGGCAGCGACGCAGACGACAGGGGTTCAGTAGCGGGGTGTGTTTGGAGTTCGTATTGATAGATAGCGTCGGGAGCAGCGTCTGAAGGTGTAGCCAACCAGCGAAAGAAAGCAGACGACAAGCAGACGAAATCCGTTGGCAGCAAAAGCGCCGTCGATGCAGACGCCTTTTCAAACTTCAAGTTTTGCTTTCATTATTCGCATTTATTTTTTAACCGAGAGTACATTTTAAAAAGATTATGTTCATTTTAATAACCCATGGTGGTCGCGAGCCGTCGCGATAAGGAGGTAGCGCCATCTAACAGTACGAACGCCAAACACACACCCCTACTGGACCCCTGTCGTCTGCGTCCCTGCCCGCCGTAGACCCTGGCAAGTTTCTTGGCCTTATGTTTTCCAGAAAGAGAGCTACGCTTTGTAATTTTACAAGGAAAAACCGACCTGTGAAATACACCTTTGACAAAAAGCTTAGATTGCTAGTGCAGGTGTAGATTTTTACGGTCCATTTTAGATCGAGCCTGGTGACTTGGACCACCCTATATATAATAGCCCCTTCCCCTGGCAAATAGCGAGCGCTCGGTGCGCGCTCGCCGAGCGGATTCTTGTTTTTATCGCGAGATGAGAGCAATCTCTCCGTGTGCCACTTGTAGATCTGGAGCCAGTGGGGCGCTCGCCGAGCGGCTCCAACCGCTCCGTGGAAAAGTGACGGAGCGCGTCGAGCGGTCCGGAGTAGTTCTCCGTGCAGCCTTTTTCGGAGGAGTATGATCTGTAGTCGACTCTCGCAACGTTTCAGTTACGTTATCGACATTCCGCGGGGCAGTGAAGGAGTTTCGCGGCTTTTTTGTTTCGATTGCTCGGTGGGCTCTCTTGGTGTGCTTGTTTTCGTTCCCCTCGTCATGACCGACTCGCCCGAGCATGCTGCGGCGATGACATCGTTGCTGTTAATTTCAGGAGGTCTAATAAAACACAGTGACAGAGACGAAGATACCAGCTTAGCTCCAGGTCGAGTGACGACGAGGCAGCCGTTCTCGGCGAAGTGTTTGCCGAGTCGTTTGGCTGGTCAGCAAAAGAGGCCCAAGATACCGCGTTACATCGAAGGCGTTGTGTGCGCCTATTCGGATGAAGAGCTAGGTATGTCGTTTGTTTGTTTTGTGGTCTCTGTAATGTAATTGGAATAACTAGAAGACAAAACGCCAAATACTCCGCGGATGGAAGTCGCCTTCGGAGATGACGATCGCTTTACGGCTTACGTGTTTGGTATTACTTAACAGCATCCTACGGCTCGTACAAGTATTTCTAGTTGTCTTCATCGAGCTTATATAACTGTAAGGGAATATAAATCACGTCTTAACGTCGGGGTCACCGTTAATCAAGTAGTAAACAATTTTTTGTCAAAGCATAAAGTTCCGATCACTGCAACTATTCAAAAGCGAGAGCAGAGGCTGTGGAAGCGGTGGCGCTGGGAGCGTTACGCTCGATTTGCTCCGCAGCGCGTGCCACTGGGATGGATCACGTGACCGATCGCTCACGGAGGCGGAGCGCTCGGCATTTGCCAGGGGAAGGGGCTACATGTGACGGGCTGAGGGTGACTGAACAAAGGTCATTTGGCACGCCAATGAAGAACCGCTCGCCACTGTGACTCCGGCGTTGACATTTCTGAGCCGAGCTGTCCAGACTAAATGACCGACTGGTGACATCAAGAATGCAGCAATTCAATTTTGGCGTCGGAAACCCGGCGGCGTAAGAAATTTGGCCAAAACTTTCCAAGCGTTGACAACAAACGAACAAAAAAACTCACCATACACAAGTCCTAGTGACCTCAGTAATACAATCCTGGTTAACCAGTACTGGGACTTCTGGATATCTTGCTGCTTCGAAGCATCCTCGAAAGCTCTCCGATACTCGCCCGGGGAGCCGCCGTGCTCGACCACATTTGGCCTGTCTCCAGAGGTCTTCGATCCAACGCTGTCTGTCTTACCGTCAGTCTCTGAACGTTTACGGCAGGTGGCTTTTCCAGAATCTCTCCGCAATCGTGTCATCGGATCGCAGGGCTTTCCAGAAATAATAAAGACGCCTTAATACGGCAGCCTCTACAAAGATACGCCAACACCGAAACGAAAGAAACAGTCGAACGAATGAACCAAAACAAGCGTGTTCGGTTGCCTGGCGACCCGAAGTTTTCTACCACAGTGTTTTCTACTGCCGGTACCACTGACCGGAACCATCACTACAGTAGGGAGCATTTAGCGTTAGCAAGTGACTGTAGAAGATGACATCAAACTAGTTTATTTTAAAAGACTCTCTTGACCAACATTATATTTACTGTTGGTACTGATAACTAAACACTGAGTTTATATATTAAATTTAGTAAACATTTAACATTGAATTGAGTTCGTATGAATTTGTGGTAAGCTCAACGGCTGAATTAGCAGTTCAGTGACACCGCAACGATGGCGGATGAGGCTGGTGCACGTGTTCAAAAGGCGGTAGAATCCATGATTCAAGACCTGGACAAGTCATGCCTTCGAAGAATGCAGGTGAGCAACCCAGTTATCAATATTGTTGACTGCAGGGCTTGTGGAGCTTGTTCTGTGCTTTCTGACGTTGCCTGATACCCACCAGATCAGTAACAACTTGGACAGTTCCATACCGTGTGAATTAATACAACTCGACTTCACGAAAGCCTTCGATAAAGTATAGATCAGAGACTTTTGCTAACCACAGTAGAAAGCTTGGGCATCAAAGGAGCTCTCCTTTTTCTGGTTATCCAACTTCATCTTTGAGAGACAACAGAAAATGATTGAAGATCAAGCAAGCTGTTTTTTCTCTCTCTCTTTCTCTCTCTTCTTGTCCACTTTTGTGTGTCGTCTTTAGTTTTTCAAAAATGTGTAACAGAAAATGACCTACAACAGAGCAAATTCTCAGTCCTGAACAGTTTACTTAATCTGGAATCCGCCAAGGCACTGTAATTGGTCCGACCCTCTTTTTAATCGTCATTGACATCGTCCACGCTATAAAGGGAACAGCCAATATCCATCCATCCATCCATCCAAAATCAATCCTGGGTTTCGTGGATCTAGAAACAGGCAGTGATGCAGGAGAGGAAAACGCAGAACACTTAGCATGTATATTAGGAGACGTTAGGGAAATCGGCACTTACAGGGAAATAATTATCTTGGGGGACATGAATGCGCATTTGGAAGACTGATGGACATACCAAGGAGGATAGAAGGGTAGAAGAGGGCATGACGTGAGCCTCGTAGCCTCCACAAGCCATGCTTCCCTGACGCCTCGTCTCTTCCTCATTTTCCTCCTTACTCTCCTCACTTATCAGCCCAACACGTGACCGTAGCTAGCCTTCGTCTAGCCTTCGATCTGATAAGACCTACCGGACGGAGCGCGCACAAGCCTGCAAGAAATCCTTCTACAATCAACCATCGACCTCGCACGTGACATGTCACGCGCACCAATCGCCAGAGAGATCTGCAATCATGTTGGGCACAATATCGTTTAAACTTTTTGTGACTAGGCTTCACCAATATTGCAACGTGCCCCCTCCTAGTACTTATAACCTCCTTGGGACATACGGATACAAAAGGGGGGATGTTAGACGAGTTCTGCGAAGCTCTTAATCTGGTATTGGTTAACGCTCAGATAACATGTGATGGAAAAATAATGTGGGAAAGAAAGAACTCTCACTCGACTATTGACTACTGTTTAATGTCGCGGAAGCTATACAACAGATTAGGAGTTATGGAAATAGATGAGGAAGGCACAAAAACTTCTGGGGAGTGTCCATATGAGAGTCAAGGTCAGATTTGGCACAGTAAAACCAGAAATGTGAAATCAAAAACAAAAGGGTAGAAATAACTTAAATGATAAATAATTACAAGAGCTATCTAAGTGAATCGAGAACATTGTATCCAAGCAACCAGAAAGAGAATGGACATATAGAGACTTAGTTAGTGTTTTCAAAAGAGAGTTAGAGAAATGTTGAATCAAACAAGGAGGAAGAAAACTCAAACTCGAAAGCTGGTGGGATAAAGGGGTTAAGGCAGCGGTATCGATACCCCAAGTGGCATTGAGAGAACACAAATGCCACACCAGCCGAAGTAGGGTCAAAATGGGAGAACTTTTAGGAAAAAAGGTGGGAGGCACCAGCATTGATACAGGCCAAAATTGGGAGGGCAGGAGTCCATTGGATGATAGAGATAAACCAGAATAGGAATGCTGCAAAAAGGTTCTGGGAGCACATCAGTGGCACAGGGAAAAAAGACAGAAAAGTACCAGCAAACACTAACCACACAGGAAGGGACAAAGGTAGGGGGGCTAGAGGCAAGAGACATACAATCGAAGCAGAATTTTCGGAGTTAGAACCAGATCAGGCCGTAGGGAATGGTAGTGTTTACACAACACTAGAGGAGGATTATAGCAAAGAAGAGGAAGTGACTACAGGGGAATGGGAAAAAGCTGGAGGAAAGGTTCCGGCTGGAACTGCAACAGGTCCAGATGGCATACCAATGAGGCTGATAGAAGTTCTTGGCAAAACAAGCAAATTGAAACTGAGGCAGGTGATTGACCAGATAAATATGGGAGGGAGGTACCCAGTGACTGGAAATCAAGCAGGATGAGATGATTATATAAGGGCAAGGGAGACAAAGACAGTATCAAATCATACCAACCAATCACAGTAACTTCAGTAATATACAGACTAGCTATTCTAACTACAATTTAGCTAACTAGCTAAATTGTAAGAATGGAGAATGGGGAGAGAGAAAGCAGGCTCTCTGGGAGCTTCAAAAGGGTTTCAGGAGGGATAGACGACTTGATAACTTATTTGTAATCACTCGGTGCATAAAGATGGCAATGACAAGTCAGAGGCCATTATAGGTAGCATTTTTGGACATCAAAGGGGCACATTACATTGTGATTCAGGAAAAACTCCAAGACCAACTGAAGGGACATGGGCTGGGGAACCATGGTTAAGTTTCTAGAACAGGTATATACGGAGAATAGGGTGGTTATAACATGGGAAGCCGAAACTGCAAGACCAGCAGCAATAAAAAGAGGATTTAGACGGGAAAAAGTGTATTTTGGGCCCAATATTTGGGTTACTATTTCAGCCATGTTTGTTGGTGTGTGTAGCAAATTTTCAGGCAAATTGGGGACTATGGAGAAAACGCCGGAGAATACAAATAAATATCTATCTCTCTATCTACCACTTGACTACGCTTCTTGGCACTATACTTTGTTTTTTGGTGTAGGCTGGTTCACACACTTGAGTTTGACTACAACCGACTGCCAAAACCGGTTTTTAAGCCCCATCTGACTGTTTACGACCGGCTGTGCAGCAGCACAGCCGGCTGTAAGCAATCGCAAGGTGCTTATTAAAGAAGCACACTGTGTTTCTCTGAGGCATGTTGGTTTACACACTTGCAACTACTTATGACCGTGTGCCTTAAAATCTCTTATGATGAAAGAACACGCTGGCACCATCTATTGGGTAGCACTTGCAGGTACAGTATATTTCCCTTTTTTTTTTATTCTTAAAACAACTTTTTGACAATGTTATAAATGACCATATATCATAGATAGTATGTTCATTTGACCTCGCAAATTCTGCAAAACGTTTTTTCTTGTCACAAGAAATTGCAAGAGCTCGATCCTAAGCAAACACAAGTATATGAACAGGCCTTAAATTTAATGCAGAAATTATGTTCGCTCTCACTCGGGTTTTCGATCTATGCTGAAATTCTCATTGTGCTCGTGTATGTGGCCGCAAAACCTTGTCCACCGCAGCTCCAAACGTTCGCAGGACGGTGCCCTTTGGTATAATGACACGTGGAGGTCCCTGCCTTCAACTGCTGCATGTGCATCACCGTGCTGCCTTCTCTTTTTATGCTACAAAATTAGTCTCGGAACTTATTGATTGCACCTTGTATGGTGTTTGGTTATGGCTTGGTGTGTGTGCACTGCTGCTTTGATGGATTTGTGGTATTTGATGCATTAAACGGATGCTGAAGTGAAAGTTGAAACATGCCTCTTACATGCAGAAATCAGTTGAACTAGGTCAGCAATAGGCTCGTTCGATTTTCCAGCACCTTCTGCACCAGGGCTTTCTGTAGGGCAGTGTACTTCTGGTATGTGTATTGAGATACGACCGGAAGTACACCGCCCTACACTTTTCCACACCGGCGCAGGTAAATCGAACGAGCCTAGTATCTGCCAGTGACAGTCGCACGCTTGTATTTTGAACGGATGGCTAAGTTTTTTTATTCTGAAGGGCCGATTCTGGCAAGTGTTTGAAGAGCAGCCATCGGAGAGCGCGATGCGTTTTGGAAGATTGGCTCATTCGTGAAGTCATTTGTCCCAGCACAGGCAAAGCTATGGCGAGGCTGGCGTGGTTATGAGCTTTGACACTTAGTGGCATTAACCCATTACAAATTAGCCGTTCAAGATGCCAGAGGACTGGTTGGGCGACATGAGTAGACATAGGTGGAAGTGAAAAGAGTCACCGGCACCCCAGAACTACACTGACCTTCTCCTACTCTTAGTCTCACCCCCTCTCCCCATTTTCCTTCTTAATTCCCAGCTGCAGGATTCGAATATAGGCGCGGGAGAAAAGGGAAATCCGGTTCAACCAAGTTTGGTGGGCTACATGCGCTCGGAGTTTGGCGCCATACTTCCGTGGAGCGGTACGGCTTTTAGGGCACAATAATGTAACTACATTCCAAGTAGCTTTAGGAACATACACCATGTGGAATTTGATAATTAATTTATTCATTTTAAATAAAGTTAGGGTGTCTTTTCAACCAAAAAATTGGCGTCTCTGTGGTGTTGCCACAGCATAGTTGGCATTTAGACAGTAAACTAGCTGCTAGATTTTCTTTTCAGTACCCCTTTAAAGGGTCAGTTCAAAGTGGATTGTACGCTGTTGATACACGCTTTTTACCCCCACACCGCACTGGCTTCGCTTTTATGAGTGGATATTTACGCATTGGCAGTCCACGCTCGCGTCACTTTGCAGTTCTAACAGAACCGCCGGAACTAACTCTCATCACTAGTTCTCTAATTCATTATGTCAAAACACTGTTGGCAACATCTTTTTTTTTTTTCTCTTTTTTTTTTGTTTTGTTTGTCTCAGCAACTTAGCCTACGATCTGGCTGGTTTGACCTCTAGTCATAAGTTTCCAGAGGGACTCCACGAACAGTGATAATGTTACAATGTTCCATTGTAACGTGGCATTTGGTGGCCCCTGCCTGTGCACATTAAAAGACAGGTGTTTTACATAAATGTATGAATTCAAAAACTAAATTTGTTTGGTGGAACTAAAATAAAGAGCTTATTTCGATAGAGGTTGAAAAGGGAGTGTTTTTCTGAGTTGGATTCAAGTAAGAAAGTCGTTTCGAGAAACGTTAAAATGAGAAAAGTCGCTTTTAGAATGATCGAAATGAGAAAGCTCGTTTGAGAAAGGGTAAAATTAGAAAAGGATTTTTGAGACGGGTGAAAATAAGAATGCTTCTTTTGAGAAAGGTCGGAGGTAGAAAAGCGAAAGTCGTTTTGCGTCTGTTAAAAATGGGAAGGTGCAAACGAGAAGGTAGAAATGCAAATCGGTTCAAACAAGAAGCACCCCTTCCCCAACCGACCATATTTCACGTCCTTGTGCTTTTTTAATTTTCTTTTCTTTTCCAGGGATTATAAAATCCTCCTCAGAACAACTTTCTTTCTTCTTTTTTTGCAGGGTGACATGCACAAGTGTGCAGCAAGATGCTGTGATGACATGACTACGACCATGGAAGGAGTACACAGGTGCATCGAAAGCTGTTCGGAGCATTTGAACAGAGCCCAGAATCAAATTCAGGGGGAGCTAGGGAACTTCCATGTGCGTATAAGTATACTTCATTGTTGGAATTTGCGTGAGGCTACGCAGAGGAGGCAGAAAGAAGGTACATAAAAAAGATACACATCTAACAAGGCCAACACAACTAATACCTGGGACCAATGGAACTGGACCACTTTTGTCACATTGAGGTTTCGTTTTGGCCTCCGGAGCACAAAGAGTAGTGTTCAAACCCCCCTGTGGTCTCTTCCTCATGGAGCCTTGTGGGCAATGCTCATAGTCTCACTTGGTTTGTGACGTAAAACCCCCAATATCGCTTTTTTTTTTTTTTTTTTTTTCCCTAGGCCAAGATTAGCATTAGAACCAACTGGTTTGTGACAATATTAGTGGTGCAAAACTATCAATATTTGACTATTGAAAAACTGTCTACAGTACTATCCTATCAATGGTATACATGGCTTGCACATGTTGTCACACTGGGATGCGCCGCCCCCTGCCGCCATTGCACCATACCAAGAGGAGAGCCAGCCAAGCTTTTTCTATGGCCAGTATCATTCGGCCCTCCGATTCCGGCATGATTTGATCGCTGCTCATTTTCTTTTCTTTAGGCAAATCTTCTTAATCGATCTAAGGAGCCCTCTCTAATGTCGAAAATGTGGACGCTGCCACTTTCTAATGGTTATTTCGAGGGGCTGTGTTGTCTATAGTTGTATGTTCCCCCAAAGTTGTGCCAACTTGTACCAGTGAAGGTCTGTGACCCAACCAATGTGGCTGTGCACACAGATCGTGAATGGGCCAGTGAAAATGCATCATCTGCAAAGGGTTTTCTTGGTTCCAGGACCGGATTCAGAGGTGTGTGATGCAGTGCCAGGACACCGTACGGGACCAGGTTTTGCCCAACACCACAGATGCTGAAGCCGCAAAGTACAAAACCCAGTTTGATACCTGCGTTGTGAAATGTGCAGACACGCACATTGAACTTGTGCCTCAGCTGCTTAAGAGAATGAAAGAAATGCTAAAGAAAGTGTAATAGGAACTTCCGACTTACTAGGAGATATAGCAACACGCAAATAATTTTTGTAATTAAAGGACATGTATGGTATTTTTTTTATATATATATAAAAATTATTGTCTATTTTTATTTATCATTTGTTTTGTTTTTCTGTAGTGTATTTTCTGGATATCTTAGAAAATATATGATGAAGGGGTACTATACTGGACTGTAGCATGTGACTGCAGTATGGCAATTTTTTTCACAAAATTGTGTGTACAGTTTTAAATGGGAATTGTCATCCTGATTTTTTCCCTGACACCCACGATGACTATGTAGGTTCGAAGTTGTTAACTTCTCTTTCCGAAAAGTCACTTTATCAGACAGCCAATTTTCCTCTTTGATTCAGTAAAGGTATTGCAGAAAGGCAGAATTTTGCTTGGTGCCAATTAGCAGGTTAAATGAGCTCTACTAAAGATGGTTGGGCTGTTTTGAAGGGATGTCTTGTTAGTGCATTTTAAGTGACTTGTGAACAAGAACTTAAAGGAACACTAACACCCCAATTTTTTTTTTAAACGATGCTGATTGTAGTCATAGCCACCCAAAAAAAACCGCTTCGCAAAAAAAAACCAAAAAAACTTTCCCCTCGCGCGTGTGAGCCTTTTTATTTTTGGCATTTTTATCTCTCGCTCATCACCTCCTCGCTGATTTGTGACAGATAGTAGGAAATTTAGAAGCTTTGTAGGCAACATTTCTATAACATTTAATAACAGAAATCGTAAAAAGCTTTTAACGCAATTGCAAACGCACTACTACCCTTTTTTTTTAAATACGCAAAATCTGAGTCCGTTGTGATGTCGCCTCCTGGATTTTTATCCTCCCTCGAAAAACATGGCTGATCGGTGAGTCAGGGAATCGGACGAAGTGGTCTTTTTTAGATACCCGACGACCTCTCAGACTTCTAAAATTAAATCGTCAAACGGTCAAAACAACTGGGTTTGGTGTCTGTGTATCTTAGTTTTGGTTGTGGCTTCGCCGGGGCAGCCTTTCATGCAGAAGCGGCGAGACGTCAAGCGTCGTCTGCTCGCAGCGATAAACAGGCTGCACGGCACGCACGGAGAAAACCGATTTTTCCCAGTACGGTGGCGCCCTTCTCTCCCGCTCCTTACCTAATTTCCGAGGGTAAAAGCGCTAAAAACAGCGGACAGGTAAAAGAAACAAACAACACGGAGCGCTACTTAAAACTGAAGTTTATCCTCGGCAAACATACACACATATATATACACCGTGAAATCACGACATGTACGACAGAAATGCGACATTATCCAATCGGTGCTTGTCTGCTATCTATTTTACGAAAGATTTTAAAAACGCCCCCTCAGAGCCATACAGGGCTATCGATGGAGCGCTGACACACGTGCCTTCAACGCACTCCGTTATGAAAAATGCGTGGGATATCTAGGCACGTGTGTCAGCGCTCCATCGATAGCAGGGTAGGAGTTCGGTAACGTGGGAACAAGGAATAATGCAAATGTGAAAAAATATAGTTGCTTTCACAAATGAGTAAAAGTAGCTAAAGGTGGGAAAATGTGCCAACTAATTTTTATATATAGCAAAAGTGGTGATCTGGTACTTGCCTGTGCATGTTTTCTGTACTCTAGGAGAATGCATGAATAAGGCTCCATAGACTAGTGAACCTGTAATTGTACAAAATTTAACAGAAGTCATTTCTTGTTTTTCTTTTGGAGGGGGGGGGGGGGGGGCATGCTGAAGTCGTTTAGCAATTTCATTCGGGTTTTTATAATAAAAATAGGTTATCACGGCATGTTGGGCAGCACTTTGCACGCTTTTTCATCTTGTGAATGTGGCACCTGGCTTTTCATAAATCGCAGGGGCTTTCTTGGTATGAAAATGCGTGCTCCGAGGCAAATTGACCTTGTCAGTAATATTACAAAGGATTTGGGAATGAGCATCGTCTGCTTGCTTATGCAAATCTATGATAGCATTCCCGTTCGATGTTGAAAACTCGTACAGCAATGGAAGAACTTTGGACCCTTTTCGCTGAGGGTGCTTCTGTGGCATTGCAGAAGGGTATGGACACATCTCAATGTCAAAACAACCAACACCGTGTGGCACTCTAAAAGCGTTGGTCCGTGACCATAATCGCGCGTAGACGCCCGTGGTTCTGATACGCCATAAAGGCTGGTTCAAACCAGCCCGCAAAACGTCTCCCGGAAAGAAACTGGGAGAGAGGAGTGATGGTCAACAGCGACGGATTTTTCGCGGTAGCCAATAAGGGGAAGGCTGTTCACCCTCCATCGCCCGAAATAAATAGGCGAACGGGTTCCTTTCGCTCTATTATTCCGGGCAACGTTTTGTGCTAAGCGGGGGATACAACGAATAATTGCATCACTATTAAACAGGTAATAACGGAATGGCTAGGCATGGCAAACATTCGTGGGGCGACTAAACGTGCTTTACGATTAGCCGGTCCTCCAGGAACCAACATGTGACACAATCCGGGGTGTGCAATACGCTTTGCCACGAGCGCACTAAACATCCTAGCTCACGGGGGAGAAGGTCATGTAGGCACACAGTTTGGCATTGTGATCTCTCCCCCAGCAGTTATCCACAACACGGAGAGAGGACCCGGCCCTGAGAAGAGATGTCTTCGTGCGGTGGTGCTCTTCTGGAATGAGGCAACACGTGTTGTTCTTCCTTCACATGCGTTTGACCTTGAATCTACCGCGACGACCCAGCTGCTTTCTAGTGAGAAACTTTTTGGGAATCTTGAAGAACAAAATCTACGATTGCTCAAAATATGGTATTATGTATGACGTAATTTCTTACATTCCTTTTACGACGAATAAAGTCATGCGGGTTACCTCAGTGTTTAGGTCATAAAAGAACTCTCGTGTAAACCATTAAACCATGCCTATCTCGTATTGCATATGTAAATGTTTTATATCAGCAGAGGAAGGCGGGCAAACATTCGTCGTACAATGTAGCAGGAATATAGTATGATGTGAACGTTTTCCACCTGCACTTGAAAGCGTGCATAAATCGTTACAATGCGCTATCTCGTAAGGTGTGTGCTGCACTATCAAAGTCGCAGGCGTGAGAGCTGTGAAAGATGTTGCTTGTCACAATTGGAGGGAAAACATTTTTTGAAGCCACATAAATCACCTGTGCCTCTCAACTCTTGATACGTGCAACGCCCTTCGTACTACAAATATCCGCTAAGTTCTTTTAGTGTATATTGTGATGAAGACGACGCTGGGGTACTGGTGTGCCTGACCATCGTGTGCCAGGCTCCGCACACGCAACCCGGGTTCTATAAAATTTTTATCTCATTGAGTGAATATGTCTTTGTCATTTGCTGCTGCCGCACATCTTTGTAACGCTGGGTGGGTGATTCCATGAGAGATCAAACCTGCATTTCCACTCAACATTTTTATTCTTTCTGGTTTTTTATATGTGATGTACGCACATGAATTGCACGAAACTGAACTTTTTTTTTTTTTGTCTCACATGTTTTTACCACGAGAAAAAAAAAGTTTCAAGATTGCGCGACGGCCCTGCTCCCACCGCGGGCTGCATTAGTTGCCAACTCTGCGGTCCTGTGGAAGGCAGGCAAAGAATAGTACACCAAAAATGTTTCATGTAACACACCAAAGTTTAAGTCAGCTGCATGCAATTATTATGTGCTTTATGAATTAAAAAAAAAATACAAAAAATGCGTAACTTTAGACCGGGTGAAACAAATACACTAATTTTCAGGCCTTCTACCTCAATTTGTATCTATTAAAGGGATACTACAACGAAATTTCGGCGCTCGTTTTTTGGTCTATATGTGTTCAAAAAAGCACCATCAAATCGAACATACCAATATCTTGTTAAAAAAGTCATGAAATGGAATTTTAAAACTAATTAAACGATTAGCAAAGAGCACCTGGTGGATGTCGCTAACGCCTCGCTTGTAATGCCCGTCTAGGAACCTTGGCAGCTAGTGACGGAGGTTGTCTCGCCTCCGGCCACGACGAGAGAAGAGGGGCAGGAGGAACTCCCCTCTTCCCGAGAATGCCTTTTGTGTGTCGCAGAAGTCGCTATTGTCCCCCTACAAGATTATAGAAGATTAACCCGTCGCTCAAAATTTGTACAAAAGCAGCCGCTTCGGTGGCTGGAACGACTAGGCCATCCTCTCGACGTCAGCCTCGCCGTAGCTTTGCTCGTCTTGAGACGACCTACGTCACGATTGCGTTGGATGTCACGTGGTCTCCGCTGGGCCTTCTCCGAGCGCTTGCCAGAGTGGGCCGTTTATAACGAGAAATGCAGCCACCAGGCTCAAAATACGAACGTGCGATTGTCATTTACGGATATTGTGGATCATATTCAACCTATTTTTGAACACGACGGGAATATTTCAAATTTCGTTGAAGTATCTCTTTAAAGGGGCCCTGCAATCATATTAAAGCGTCTACGTTTTTTTGCGGTTTCCACGTCCCTCGGGGTTTGAGCAAGCCAGCGGGCACGGAGAGAGTAACTAAATATCAGTGCGTCATATTTTAACCGAACGACGGGGAAACCTCAAACTACGAAGGCGACCCGTGGTGCCGAAAGTGTGCGATATGCAACGTCTTTGGTCCTGGGCTTACTAGTGGTCAGAGCCGCTAAAAGCACCTTTTTAGTCTGAATATAAAATATAAGCCGTGCAAACCATTTCAGTTTTGTATAAAAGTAGTTTTTGTTCACTATTTTAGATCAGAAAAGAAACAAATGCAGTTTAGAATCTACGGAAACAAGAAATGACCCGTCGACATACCCGCCACAAAGCGGTGGAAAAGGCGGCGCATACTAGAAAGGTGTAGTGGGATCAGGCGCCAATGGAGCGGCGAGCGTAGAAAGATCTCGGATGTATGCGGCGGCGCTGCGTTCGTATCTACTGGAGGAGCCGACCGGTTCCGAGCGTTCCCAAGGCCTTCAGCGTGCAGTTTCGGCTTGCGGTTCATCCTTTTAGCGGTATGGCAGCGCGAAGTGGCTCCCGTTCTGAACTGATCTTTACACCGTGTTTGCTGTCGTTTGTGGCCAATGAAGTTTCATGTCGTTGTTTAATCGCGCAGCAAATGCAATGCGAGCCGCCCTGGCTGCCCGCCTCATACAGCCTATCCAGAACATGCTTTAGTGGTGCCCTCTCGAGCCGTCGACACGGTGTGCGGCAGCCATGAGCGCTCGCTGAGCTCACTACCCCTCTTCTACAGGGTGATTCAAGGAGAGGCCAGGCTCTTTAAATCGACCGAAGAAAACATTTTTTTTAGACAGCTTAGATGGAAAAAGGATGTCATAAAACGATTTTACAACGAAGAAAAAAAATATTTTAGAGCTATATTTACGGCGCTATACGAATTTGTAGTTGGCGCTCGCGGGAGCCGCCGCTTGTCACGTGGTAGGCCCGCGCGCTGCCGCGCTGCGTCGCCGCCGCACGCTGAGCGCTGTGCGAACGCCGCTTCAACGCGTTTCTCCAGGCCGCCGTCGCCGCCGCCGCACAAGTTCGGGGCGCCGCCGCCGTCGTCTGACCGGCGCACAGGTGGAGTTCCCTTTGGGCTCTAAAAGTTACTTATTCATCTTAGTTTTTTGTTATACTTCGAACAAAGATGAATAAGTTACTTTTAGAGGCCATAGGAAGCTTCCGAAAGAACGCAAGCACCACGTGAGAAATAAAGACCAGTCACGTGATAAATACGGACCACTTTTCCGCGGTGCCCGCGGGCGCCAACTACAAATTCGTTTTGCGCCGTAAATATAGCTCTAAAAATTTTCTTTCTTCGTTGTAAAATCGTTTTATGGCGATCCATCTAAGCCGTTTAAAAAAAAAAATGTTTTTTCCTTTGCATGTGTTAACCAATTGCGCTACGACTTTTAGCAGCGTTGCCAACATATGGTGCATTTTTTTTTTTTTTTTGTAAAATTTGCAAAGAGCGATTTTACCCGAGGAAAAAGTAAAGAAAGAAAAAGCTTAGCTCCTATGGAGAGAGAATAAACATCTTTATTGAGCAAAAGAAGCTTCGGGAGGCGTCCTTAGTCCAGGATGCCTTGAGCTCGGGCCGCGTCTTGGGCCCTCGCGACCAGTCGTAGCTGATCGTCGAGGTCGGAGCTGGCCAAGGCTCTCTCCCAAAGCTCGGTGGTGGGGAAGAGGATGGGGGGATGTAGTGATGTTTGGGAGCAGCCTCCTACCATATGTCGGAGGGACCCGGGTTCTCCGCAGAAGCGGCATTGCGGAGAAAAGTCAGTGGGGGCTAGGAGGTGATTTCTGGTGGGGTGGGGGAAAGTATTAATTTGTAGCTCACGGAGTATTCTTTCCTGTTCTCTAGGTAGTGATTTGTGTGCAGGAGGATAAGTTCTACGGGTTAGCCTGTAATGCTGCGTGATCTCTTGGTAGGAGACGAGAGGGTGCATGCGCTCCGGTTCGGCTTCCTCGGCGTCGGCTCGGCGGGTCAAATCTCGAGCCACGAGGTTAGCAATCTCGTTGCCGAGACGCAGCAACGCCACCGGTCCTCAAACAACACGGCGCCGTTTCGTACGGGAGACAGGAAATGGCGCAACGAACGCCGCCCAGGGACGAGCATACGGCGCCGAGAGCCGGCGTCTTTGGCAGACAATCTTTTCGACTCAAAAGCGGCGCGCGTTCCACAGGCGGCGACAGTCGCAGAAACAAAAACGGGCGCGGTAACAACAAGGAACTGCAGTTCCTTGTCTGCTAAAGACGCCGGCTCTCGGCGTCTCGGCGTCGTATGCTCGTCGTACGTGCTCGTTCGTTGGCAGCAGTTGGCGTTAGTTGACGTCGCGGCCGCCTGCGCCATCTCTTGTCTCCCGTGCGAAACGGCGCTGTGGTGTTTTAAGGCCGGTGTCTTCGCTGCGTTTCCATAGGAGCTAAGCCTTTTTCTTTTTTTACTTTTTCCTCAGGAAAATTCGCTTTTTGCAAATTTTACATAAAAAATATGCAACATCTGTGGGCAACGCTGCACAAAGTCGTAGCGCGATATCGAATTTTCCGGTCGATTTAAGAGCGTGGCCTTTCCTTGATTCACCCTGTAGTTTACGGTCACTTAAGCGGCCAAAGACGTCATGAAGATGGTTATTTTTTTGCTTGTTTTTGTAATTTTAATTTGCCTATAACTTTTAAAATAAAGAGAAATTCGAGAAAATAAAAGTTTCATTAAGCTTCTACGTTCAGTGCAGTCAAATTCGGTGCAAAAAAAAAACAAAAAAAAACAAAAAAACACGAACTTGCAGGGCTTTTTTAACAGTGGGTGCGTGAGCGAATTGGGCGCTTCCGCGATATTTTACGGTAGCGTCGTCTCTATTATCCAATCCAAAATGCGGCTTGAACTCGGCGCATAAACAATTAAATTTTTTTTTTTTAAGTGCGCGTAAAGTTTGAATACGCTGCTTTAACTTTTGCTAGTATCGAGTCCGCAATATTTGACGCCGAAAAAAAGCCGTCTGCGTAACAATCACCCGAGTCCTGGTTGTTGATGGCGAATAGACGTTTTCTGGGGAAGCCGAAATTTACAAAGCGAATATGTTCAAATTTCAAATAAAGATTTAATCCACACAGGTCCATGAGGTGGTGTCTAGCGCTGACTTTTTAGCCAAACTTTCCGAGGTACTTCTCCTGCGCCCTTTCATTTTATTTTGCCAATTTTACGAAAGACAAATGTCAGACTTAATTTGACACGTCTGTCACTTTTACCGAAGACACTTATATTTTGAGTAAGCAAATGTCCATATAAAATAATAGACTTTCTAGGGCCATTCTGTCGAAATATTCCTTGACCAACCTCTCGAGTTCATCTGTTCTGCCCGATTCAGCACATTGCTAATCAAGCTGTAAATATGCCTCTTCACATTCACGTGCTAGCCTCTTTATTTGTGTATTTTTCCAAAAACAAGCGTCATTGGCAACGTTGGTCATTGGGCACGTCCGTAAACGATTGTAATCTTCCCTGCACATCAGTCAGGCGTTTCCGAACCTAGCATCACCAGAAACATCAAAGGAGTTAGTAAAAAAAAAAAGACCTCATTTTAGGCTCAAAAACACCTCGTAGTCCTCAGAGTGCGCGCTATAAGGGAAACAATTGTACCACTAAATAAAGCAAAAACAACATAGAGCAACAACGCAGCCACGTGTATTTTGAAACCGAAACCAACCAAAAATAAAAAGCTGGATGGATAAATAAATCCGGCTGAGCCCTTTGGATCGGGCGGTAGCTTACGCCACCTAGCCATTTTGTTTTACCTTTAGTGCGTCAGCGCCCTTTATCCGTCCGTCAGGCAACTACTGAATTAAAAAGGTCTCAGCATATATTTTTTTTTGTATTTGCAGCCAACACTTACATTTAAAATAAATTTAAGGAAAGCCATATATTTCAAAATAAAAGCACTGTATTTGATCGTGCAGGGATGGCGTAAAGTGAGGTTCACAAATCGAAACCTAAACTGAAGGCACGTTCCAAGATGCCTTTGCATGGCACTACGCCGATAGGATCAGTTCGATTTTACAAGAGCATTACAAGCCTTTTAGAAGACCTGTGCTTAGCAGCGATATGAGATTCTTTTGCCCTTCACAACTGGCTGGGTGGCGCAAGCCGCTTCCGGATTGAAAGGGTTCAGTAATATACGGCTCTGGGTTCAGTCGTATCCATCCATCCAAATATATTCCCAATTAAAAAAAAAAAATACACGTTAGCGTTTAACGCATTAAAGGCACGAGCACAGAGCGCTTGTGGATCACTCCAACTCCATCAAGTGCAGGCTCCGCAGGCTCTGAGCAAGTAAATGACACATAAAAAAAAAGGAGTTTTTTTTTTTTTATCGGCTAGGTGCCGCAAGCTACCGCCCATTATAAACAATACAGCCGTTATTATTTATCCATCCACCCACCTGTTCGTGGTTGTTCGTAGTTCCCAAGGTTCCCAAGGTTCGGAAAGCCAGAAAAAGTGCCTGGCACCGCGCACCGCTGGCTGGCACTCTTGGCACAGAGGCAACCAAGGCGCCTGATCTTCCAGTGCTCAAAATGGCGGACGATCAAGTGAGTGCTCATTGAACTCTTTGTACGCTGGATAGTACCAAAATTTTCTGGAAATGCAAGTGCAATTTCGAAGGGATTAATGCTTGGGAAGTGACTCATAGTTACATTGTGAATCGGATTGGCATCTATCGGTGAGCTTCCGGGTGCCAGTTGCACCCAAGAAAGTGTTCATCGGTTGACGATCATTTTGGAGCAGTTTTAACGTCGTCGCAGTTTGCGCCATGAACTGGGAATTTGGTGAGAACTGGCGTCTTGAGTTCGACCCCTTGGCAAGAGGCTGGTCGAGAGGACCGCGAGAATTGCCAGTCACGGAGTCCGTGACCGGACATCTCACGCATTATTAGCTCGTCGGTGAACACAGTACCATCCTCTAAGACTTTCTTTTATAGACGAATTTCCTCTCATTTTCGGAGATGGCTCAGTTAGGTTATCATCGAGTGAGTTACAGTAATAGTAGGGAAAAAAGTATTTTGTCTTTATTTTCCGCCGTTGAGAAAGCCCATGAGTCGCACTGGGATGGAGCAGCGCGGGATGTTGTCGGAATACATTTATTTCCAACGACCGTCCCGGGCTTTCGCGCCGCCTGTTTAAACTAGGAAAATTTTTTATAAGAGTCAGCGTTGTCGAGACCATTGCAGTCGAGCTGTGCCGAGCCGTGATTCGGCGGTGCCTTACGCCGTTGCCGATCCACCACGCTCAGGAGCTGGCGCGGGTCGAAGCTCTGTGCCAGCGGCTCTACGAGGGAGTCGACACCTCGGAGCGTGCCCAGGCTGAATCTCAGCTCTCGGAGTTCTGTTGCGGCTCTTCACCGGATTGCTTGCAACGTTGCAGGCTACTACTCGACCGGTCGCAGGTACTAGCTCTGGTCCCCGTGAGCTACGTGTGTCTTCACTGTGGCTGTCTTTCAAATCTTTTGACTTGCCAGGTCTGTGTTGTCAAATCATGGAGCTCGGGCATTGCCTGTACTGCTATTCCTTATGTTATCCTTTACTTTCTTCTGTTGCACTCTTTTCAGGGTTCACTATCTTGTGCATGTTTTGGTTGTAAGTATTTTCTTGCCTTGGAAGTGTCTCTGTCTTTGCACTGTTGGCTTGGTTGACTTACTCCGGCGTGGCTTAATTTGCTGTTATTTTTGTTGTGTTTCACTGTTAGAGTGCCTATTAGCGAGTTTGTTTCACACGCACTGGCACCGTACGAGTTCCCTCGCAGAGTGCATCACACTTGCGGAGTGCTGCACGGAAAACTGGTTCCAAACGAACTTACCAACTGCAGCCTGGTGCTGTCGCCATCTATGTTGTAATAAGAGTACAGACCTCAAATCGAAACTAGAGCCCCGCTGTTCGACAAGGACTGCTGGGAACATGATAGTGCCTTACGTTACTGCAACATGTAGTTTATATCTGCGATGACTTCAAACAACTTGAATGTTGGTGAGATATTTGCAGACGACGCGAGTTTTCGCAATCAGCTGACTAGAAAACACCAGTAAGAAGTAACGAAAGTTGAGCAATCTTTCTATTCTTAAGACCGTTTGCCGAGAAAACAGCAGTTAGAAGTAACGAAAGTTGAGCTAGCTTTCAGTTCCTAAAACCGTTTGCACTGGAGAAAACTGTTCATACTGTTCGCACAGATGCTTGATCTGCCACACGTGGACAAGGGATGCAACCATGCAGGACACAAGTTGACTCTAGAATACTCCTATGGACAGCACAGTAAAATGGGCAGCAGTACCCTGCACCCTCATGCACTGACAATCTGCCATACTCCGATTATTTAAACCAACACGTTGCCTGCGCCACACCTCACCCACTGCTTCGTGAGCTTGCCTGGAATGCCCAGGTGTCCACACCGTGGGGACTATTCGAATATATACCATACCCTCTGGATATGCACACGTAACCCCTTCCCCTCCCAAATATCCCGAACTGGGGGCACCTTAGCTCCTAATAAAGCAATTTTATTTTGAAAGGTTAAGGGTAAAAACTAGTCTGTCGGAATCTTCTGAGATATGTTTCGCGGTGCATTCTATTACGGTCGTCCTATGCAGCTGGGTCGGTCAGAATTTATCACTATGGTGAGAGCGGTAAGAAAGAGAGCCTTCTCGAATGAATTGTGACGGTGCAAGATAGCTGGCATTGGTAAATATTGAATTTTTTTTTCAAAGCCTCGCGTAAAATTGCTTAGCTTTCTTGGCTGCTGATTGGATGCGTCGCAGGTTTCTGCTGAGCCTGCTTTGCGACAAATGTTGTCCAACTTATCACCCACACACGAATTGTGAGAGATGTCGCGGCTGCTAATGTTCGTCCCAAACCTTTCTTTACCCATTGTTAGATTTCAGCGTCTGTATGGCAACAAAATGACTCAAACCTTGCAAATGAAGCACGGGTTGTTGGATTGCTTTCTTTATGAAATAGCAGACGCTCGTGTTCGATTTTGTCGCCTGCTGGATGCGACATCTAGCGGAAAATTCCCTTTTTTTGTTCGATTTCGATAGGTGCGAATGGCACCTTGTTGCAGACGATTCCCCGTTGTCTGCTCCCACTTGTCACTATCCTTGCCTGTGCAATGCTTGATGGAATTGCATTATGGCTTATGCTCGATTCTCTCAATGCAGCGAGTGCATGCACTTGTGGAGTGCCGGTGTCGAAACAAACTGAACTCCACGCTGTGAGGGGGCATGTGTGGACACAAGTGCAGTGAAACAAACTCGCTGTTACACAAAGGACACTCGGGGATCATAGGAGAGCCTGGTTTTTGGCAAGTGAAGTGATTGTGGGTCAGCTTGCTCAAAGTGATGAGCATGAAATGAGACTTCCCTCAGTAATTAGGTTCCATTCACGTGTCAAGTTGGCCAGACTCGAAGGAGACTTGCTCACTGAAGACTGTTGTTGGTAGCCTTGTATTTTTGAACATGTTGACTATGAAGAGAGCCATAGACTTGTCCCAAAGTTATTATTATTCAGGAGTATGCCTAAAACATTGCTTATGCTGCATGAAATATGTGAAATTGCTCTCGCTAACTTGGCATCCTCGGGGATACAAATCTGTGAGGGTCCTATGCTGACTCAAGTCTTCAAGGGGTGTCAAGTTGCTGTGGGAGGTCGCATTCATGGGCTTATCTGCTTATAGGACCTTTCTTGTAGCCAGAGGGAAAGCTGGGTTACTTTCATGTAATCTTGTTTTGTGTAACGGTTCAGGAACACGTATAAGAAACCTTCATGGTCAACATAGTGCAGTTGCATCCCTGTCTGTTTCTGGTGTCTTGAATGTAAGTTGAATGGTTGGTAGATCTAGCATACCAAACTATTCAGCTTTACACTAGCAATGCCGCTTAGGATAACTGCACTGGCTTATCTCCTTTGCTGTGTGTGGTTCTCAGACATTTTATTGAATTCCTTTACACTCCGAAAAAGGAGCTTATATAAACAACTTAATTTTTGCAAGAACCTAATTTTTGCAAATTTTGCAATATGAAAAATATTGTGGAAAATTGATCTCTCGTATATATTGTCCCATGACAATGAATTTATAACATAAAATTCCAAATCACTTTCTCAGGCCCACATACCGCAACATTTTCGATATTGAGCTTTCGAAGATAAAATCATTCACAATATTTGCATCTTCCTTCAACTGTATGGTGCATTTCCCCCTTGATGTTCAATAGAGTGAGAGTATTATCATATTTGGCTTTTGTTAGAACAGCAAAATTTATGTCCATGTGGAGAGTACAGCAGACTCGTTAATTCAAACTCGAGGAAGTCACGAATTCTGCTTAAATTATCAGAAATTCATATATAAATGATGCGAGATAGAATTATGATTTGCCATATGAATGGCTACACACACAAAAAGAAAAAAAAGTGTGTGTGATGTGTGACATATGTTAATTTATCCCTCAAAAATGTTTATCGTGGACTATTTAGGCAGCACATGACAACTCAAAACAAAATTAAGTTAGTTCATTAGGTCAACAAGTTGTTTAATGTGAACAATTAAGCAAGGGACGCAGGAGCGATAAAAATGGGCACAGCACGACTGTTTTGATAGCAGCTTGCACGAACGCTGTGATGTGGATCTATGCCATGCCGCCACGTCGCAGCGTTTGTGCAAGTTGCTATGAAAATTTCCTCGTGGTGCTCGTTTCCATAGCCCATGGTGCCCTTCTTCAGAGCCGTGCATAGAGAGTTTGGTCGATGAAAGGAGCGGGCAGAGCCAGGGCGTGCACCAGACGCAGATAGAGGGCTTGGCATGCTATCTTGGCCAACCAGAAGCCAAAAACAAATCCCCCTAGCGGTGGTAGCGAGAAACCGTTTTAATAAGAGCATTAAGGTTAAATGTAGTAAATCTTCATGATCATGCAAAAAGATAAGAAACAAATGTGCCGCTCAAACTCTTTTTTGCTCGGACAGAGTGTGACAGCTCAGATGACAGATTCCCTGCTCTTGGCGCCTGGCGTACGGATTATGTCGATCACCGCTAGTCGCGCTCTTCCACCATGATTTTGGACGACTGTGATTGAAACACCACGTGCACCATATTTTCAATCACTGAGAGTTATCCCCGACACACTTATTAATTTCATTTCTCAAGACCACCGCCAGGGTGTTATTTCCGGCTTCATGTTGGCCACATTCAAATTTATTACGACGCCTTGGAACACACCCAGCCCGCTTTCGGCCAATGGCGCCTCCTATACTTCCCAGTGAATGGCCATATTCTCTCTATATATGGCTTTGCCCTTTTTGAGCCCCGTTGGGTGAGCTTCTCACCAAGCACCGCTGCACTGCAGAGAAGCAAGCTCCGTAGGTGCTGCCTCTCTGCTACGGTGACTAGAAGGGGAGGTGCAAGAATTGTGTAATATGCTTTGTGTGCGGCGGCACGCTAGTATATCACGACGACGATAAGTGGCGCGCTCATCGACTTCGAGATGCCAATTACAGACGCCACGCCAGGAAAGGCTCATTCGCGTCGCTAGGAGTGCTCGTTTGTGGTGCTCTTCCTGTAAAGATTGCCCCATGCGTCCAGACTACCGCGATGGCAAAACGGCCAACACACTGCTTTGCTCTCGGATGCCCCACGGGGTATGTTTCTGCGAGAAAGAAAGAGAGAAAAGCCTTCCTCTTTGCCGTTCTCGACGACGGTGACAAAAGCATCAACAGGTTTTTGCTCTAGTTATGTTATCCCCATGTCCAAGATCAATATGGTTTACCTTTTAAATGTATTTTAAGGGGCGTATATCGCACGCTATTCTTACTTGCGGAACAAGAAAGTATCCGAATCTCAGTGGAAGCGAGCGGATGACGTTTCTTGGTGTCAACAACAGTGCCACCGCTGCATCCTGACCGGCTGCTCTTTCTCTCGCGCGTGGATTCTGACAGCTCCCCTTATAGCCACCGTATCTCTGTAGTGCACGAATGCTCAGAAAGAGGTGCACTAAATGGGGCCACGCGAACAAAAAGTATGAATTACACGAAAACTATGTTCGAATTACCGTAAAGGTCCGAAAGAACGCTTACCCAAAATGAAAAGATAAAAAACATGGCTTGGGCTATCTTTGGGGATGCCACAGCAAAACTTTATATAAAATTAGTGATAAACACCCTGGCACCGGCTACAACCCACGCGACGCAAGCACTGATACCGCAAATATCGCATCGTTTCACGATGCGATAAACATGCGGCTTTGAACTCCTGTGTCACGGGAAAGGATACTGCATGTTGTGGACGCAGCAGATTCATTTTTCACAATGCGAAGAACCTGCTGAAACCAGCCAAGAACTCTCGTCTGACGGGAATGAATACTGCAGATCGTGGACACAGCAGATTCAAGTTTCATGGTGCAATAAACCCGCGGGAACCTGCTACAAACTTGCCTGTCACGGGAACCGATATCGCATGCGCAGATTGCGGACAAACACGAGGGAATCCGCTACAAACCCTATGTCACAGGAACCGATACCGCAGATTGCGGGCGCAGGAGATTTCCATTTCACGGTGCAACTTACACGCGGGAACAACTCGCGTGTTACAAGAGCCGATATGGCGCGCGCAGATTGTGGGCAAAAACGCGGGAGCCCGCCGTGAATTCGCTTGTCACACATGCCGGTACAGCAAATTGCGCGGTTGATGCGATTTCCATCGGGCATCGCGTGACGTCCGACGGAAATTGGGGGTGGGCGATGTTTCGGAATTTTCACATTACAGATATTTAGCGAGAAAAACTCGACGGGCGATCTCTTCGGGGCTGGTATTCTCGGAACTTTAGGGTAAGGGGCTTATAAATACATTAAAAACATAGCTGGGCAATCAAAATTTAGAAATTTGTTTAAATTAACCAGAAGTATGAAATATCGGAGTTTGAAGAATCGCGAGCCTACTATTCTGAATGTTTTTGAGCAGGCCTATTGGATAAGTTTAGCCGCTCATCATGCCTTTCATCCGATAGTGTTCTGTAAAATTTGAAACATTTGTAGGGATGGTGGTAGGGGTGCCCAAATACTAGTTCTTAACTTTGTAAATTATTTGAATTAGCTAATAATATTCTCTGAACCTGATATTCCTCCTGGCAAAGGTGAAGAAAACACAAGAGTAACAAAAGCTGGTAAGAGGTACGCAAGAAAAGTATTGTGTGGAGTTCTTCAATACCTTTTTAGAGTCTGCCAACATTGGAAAGCATGAATACATGGTTTGATAGAACATCACTGATACATTTTGACATTCTTTTCTGCTTGACCATACCAATGTTATTCCCATTTGGCGGATTTGAATCCCGGTCAAGGTGCCCGCAATCTGACTGGGTGTTATCGCGGAAAAGGCGCCGAGTAATTGAGATTTTGGTTGCCGTCAAAAGATCCCCAGGTGGTCGAAATTAATCCTCAGTCCTTTGCTGGGCCATGCCACAGGCCCATAGTTCATTTGACACGTAAAACCCCCTTTTTTTCTTGTTTATACCATTATCTTATTTTTTTATGGGTCATTCTAGTTTTTTCAGCAGTTATAAGGCCTGTATTCGTTTGAAGCTTTTTCAAATACAGTCCTTTTGTATGCCCATGCTTTGCAGTGTATTGCAATATACTGATTAATGTCAGCTTTGGCTGTGTGCAGCATGAATCATTAGTGTGGGCCACTTTGTGTTGCCCTGCTCTAGTAGCCTCATGACCTTCATGGGCCTTTCATTTCTGTGACAAGGAATTGCTTGGTAGCATGGGCATCAGTTTGGTCTGATCCATAGACAGTTGTGGCCAGAAAACTACTAATGGGTTTAGGCTTGCTCTTTGGTGTTTATGAAGGGCTGTGTACTATTTTTCTCAAGGGAATGGGGTTCAGTGACCTGAGACCAATTGAAACGCTTCTGTATTAATGTGTTGTGTTTCGATGGGTCTTTTCCACAATTTTTCGGCACCATCTGTTGACAAATCAAAAAGCATTTCTGGTGGCTTTCTGCAACACTTTTACCAGCTATTATGCCTGTACTGTGGTTGCAAACGAAGGTGGAACCAAATTATGGCTTATTTGAATTGAAATGAGGCTACCTCTAGCTTCCAACTGTTACTGACTGCCAATACTTTCACTCAGGTGGCATAAAAAATGGTGGACCGGCCGTGTCTGCTACAGTTATGCATGCACATAGGCAATCCTGGGAAAGGTTCATTCCAGTGTATTGCTTTACTGAACAAGGTTTGCAAAGGATCCTTAATGAACTTGTTTCCATTGTTTTCATGTGCAGAGTTCATATGCACAGCTTCTAGCAGCTACTACACTCAGCAAGTTGGTGTCAAAGAGCCCGGGTTCCTTGAGTCTACAGCAGCGGCTAGAAATGCGTAAGTTGTAGCGCATGTTTGCTGTAGTTCAAGAGGGGAAAACAAGAATGGTGTTTCTTGTTTTTGCAGGCAACTACATTCTGTCATACCTATGGCAGAGGCCCAAGGGGGCCTCGTACGTGACCCAAGCACTAGTTCAGCTTTTTGCCCGGCTCACCAAGCTGGGCTGGTTTGATTCAGACAAAGAGGAGTTTGTTTTCCGGAATGTCATTCGCCAAGTGCAGTCGTTCCTGCAGGGTTCGGTCGAGTACTGCATGGTGGGGGTGCAGCTGCTTTCACAGCTTACCTGTGAAATGAACCATGTCACCGAGGTAGGTGCGACGCCGCAAGGAACCCACAGACGCAGGCTTAGCCTTATTTTCATTGCAGGCGGAAGCCAACCGTAGTCTGACCAAGCAGCGTAAGATTGCATCCTCTTTCCGGGATAGCCAACTGTATGACATTTTCCAACTGGCTTGCGACCTTCTTCGAAGAGCCCTGGATTCATGGAAAAGTCAGATGAGCTTCAGTGACGACACGCAGGTACAGTCCCCGTCTGTGTTGGTGTTCTTGTGCCCTATGTGCCTGAGTGTATCTCGTGCTTTGCAGCAACAACTGATGAGTCAGCTTCTGCGGCTGGCCCACCACTGTTTGAGTTTCGACTTCATTGGCACGAGTCCAGACGAGTCCTCGGACGACCTGTGCACAGTGCAGATCCCGACGGGCTGGCGGCCGGCCTTCCTTGACTACAACACTCTGCAGCTTTTCTTCGACCTGTTCCACTCCCTGCCGGGCACTCTGAGCCCTCCGGTGCTTTCCTGCCTCGTGCAAATTGCCTCAGTGCGCCGCTCGCTTTTCAACAATGCCGAACGGGCCAAGTTCCTTTCCCAGCTGGTCACTGGTGTCAAGCATGTCCTCGAGAACCCCCAGGTCTCTCGCCTCTTTTGGATTGGCCCACTTTTGGGGCTTGAACCGGCCATTTTATTTTCAGAGCTTGGCGGACCCAAACAGTTATCACGAGTTCTGCCGCCTCTTGGCTAGGCTCAAGTCTAACTATCAGCTCGGCGAACTGGTCAAGGTTGAAGCCTACCCCGAGACCATTGCTCTCATAGCAAAGTTCACTGTCACGAGTCTACAGGTAGGCTTGCCGAGCTTTCCCTAGGTTCATCTTTCGCTTTGTAGTGAGACTTTTGGCCTTCCTAGTGTCGGAAGTGTACTCAGTGTTGTTCCCTGTCTGTTCTGAATTATTCCGAGGTTCTCTGGAAAATGCTGTTTTTTTTTTTGGTTTCTGGCAAACAAAAAACTCCTTTCTTTCTAGTTTTTTGGAAAGTATTGCTTTCGCTTTCTAGGGAAAAATGACATTTTTATTATACTGCCCAATTTTTCACAAATATTTTAGACTAATTTTGTTTAACAAAAAGTGCATGCAAGAGCTAGCAGCAGCCACTGAAACTGAAACTCCTACGAATCTGAGAAAGAATGTGAGCAAAAGCTGAAAAGTCGTGAGCTTCAGCACTGGTATGGCTACTTAATTTTTTTGCATCTAGGAATCATCTGAGTCACAATTTAGTCAGTACCATAAAATCGAGGGGATACAGATTTTTAACATTTCTCTCGGTTTTTTATTGAATTTATACTCTCACATCTATTGTAATTCTGGATGCTAAGCAGAAATACAAGGTTAGCTTATTCCTATCTATTATAGTTTTTAAGAAAATGTCAACATTATCACATATGTTTCTGCACAACTTTCTTACAATATAGTCAACACAAAGTATGTCTGCACATTCTACAAACAGCAGAGAGTACAGCAAAGCTATTCTTGTAATTTTAGCATCAGTATAGAAAAGGTTGTGTGTGTTGGAATTCTTTCGCTGGTAACTAGAAATAAATTAAAAATGAAAACCTTATATATCAGTTTCTAGAAATATTAGTTTTGTTGCATTCTGATTAATGAGGTATCCATCTCCAGAAAAAGTATTCATATCCAAATTCTAGATCCAAAGGTACTGTGGGGGCATTATGCCATTTGTGCCAAACGCCAGCCTGCTGCATATGCGCCAAAATGCCATTTTTGTGAAAGATTGCTCCACACTTGTGTCAAGGTGAACTTAGTGAAGGAAAAGGAAGGTCCTTCTTTTTCCTTTTTAAGGTTACAATCACGCCACCGCACATGCCGTTATTGTAACCTGCCGTAAAATACCGGAGGAGTGCCCACCCTACTTCCACTGAAAATTGGGTTAATCTAGACATGGGCACTTGTCCGGTCAAATCAGGCCTTAACTTATTATTTGCCGAATTCCCAAGTTTAGAAAATGTTAATTGGGGGCGCTTCCACCATATTTTAGGGTAAAACGAAAATTCTTTCCTTGGGGGGACTTTGTCTGAAAGTAAGCAGACTGGTCAAATCAAGCAAGTAGTCTGTGAGGGTGTTAAGCATTTGGTGGAAAGGCTCATGACTCGCCACTCCCATCAGTCTTCACTGTTTTGCACGGGTGCACGCACGTCAAGCTTCACTATTTTTCACCAGCATGCTAGGAGAAGCGGGTGTGCATTTGCATTAGCTTAGTGGGCTGGAAAATTATGCTCGCTAGAAATATAGGTTGGCCTATACCGTGGCGTACAAACTTGTTTTTGAGTGGGGAGGCAAACCAGACTTCAAACTTATACTTCAAACAAAGATGAATAAGTTACTTTTAGAGGTCATAGGATGCTTCCAAAAGAGCGCAAGCACCACGTGACAAATAGCGACCAGTCACGTGACAAATAGCAACCACTTTTCCACGGCACCCGCGGGCGCCAACTACAAATTCGTATCGCGCCGTAAATATAGCTCTAAAACTTTTCTTTTTCTTTGTGAATTCGTTTTATGACTTCCTTTTCTCTACGAGAATGTAAAAAAAAAAAGTGTTTTTCCTTTGCATGTTTCCTTTAACTCCCATTTCAAGCATATTCTAGTCTTGTGCTATGAGATTTGTTTCATCCTCATTTCTTTGAGCAGGGTGGCACCAATCTCTCTTATAGTGAGGGCTCTTTGTGCAAGAAGTGGGCTGGCTTGGTTCAGTGAGCACATCTATCCTTGCTTCGCAGATGTGGCAGTTTGCACCCAACAGTGTACATTACCTGCTGAGTTTATGGCAGCGTATGGTTGCTTCTGTGCCATACGTGAAGGCCTCAGAGCCTCACCTGTTGGATGCCTACACGCCCGAGGTGACGCGAGCCTACATCACGTCACGTCTGGACTCTGTGGCCCAAGTCATCAGGTGGGGCCTCAGCAAACTTTGATTTTATGCAGCTCGCTATGTCTAAAGAGGTACTTTCTCTAGGGGCACCTTTTTTATATACCTTCGAGAGCTGCACACCTATGTGTTCTATATAGGATTTTTACCGAAGGTAGTCTAGCATAAAATGGGTGCTCGACATGCTTGGGAATTTTGTGCGTTTCAGTTACGCGGCTTTCAGGCTGCTATAAAGTTTAAAGATGATGGTGTGTACCCTTGAGATCAGTTTATAGCCTTGGGGCTGGTGGGCCTGAAAACATTGCGGGCAAGTGCTTATTGTGTATTTGGTGTGACAGTGTTTTGTCATGTGCAGTCAGAATGCCAGCTAATATTGAGCAACTGTTCCCTTTGCTCTAAGAGCACCTCAGTGGCTATGCAGGATTTTTGGTGCAAAGTTTTTGCAATCTAAAATCAACTGCACAAAAGGATGGTGTAGCTTGTTTGTGCTAGAACCTGCCGTTTTAGTAAACAAGACAAGTTTCGAGACCCAAAACGTTTTTTTATTTTTTAAGAGGTATACTTAACCCCCTTGCCTATTAATAATAAGTGTCACTCGTGCCACCCTTTATGGACCATAAAGCCCGACCACGAGTGTGTTTTGGTTTTAGCGCTTGTTTAGCGCGCTCTTCGGCAGATGGCAACACCACCCTTGTGGCTCTACTTACCTTGGCTTTTTTGCTCATTTGTGTTCCTGTTTGACAGAAAAAAAGCGCTTCATTAAGCCAAAAAAACAAAACACGATGGGTAAGTGTTTGTGCCAAAACAACATGGTTTTGGCGTGGAGGTCCGCTTTAGCCGACGAAGAGGTAAAAAAAAACTTCTATTTTAAAGCGAATGCTCATGCATATCTGATGACAAATCCTGCTGCCTTGCCGATTACTCGGAATCAGATAGTTTGATGAGGAGCGGTGGGAATGATGAAAACGATGCAAATTGTTTTGATCACTTGCATCAAGGTGGCTCTCCATCTTCCTGAATGTTTTCAGCGCGATCACGCTATAAAGAACTACTGAAGAGGACCAGATGATCAAAAGTTCTGATTTGGAGCAAGATACCGCACCTGGAAATCAAGGGGGGATCGGTGGCTGAGTGGTCTAGCGCACACCAGCTCGGAGCACGCGGAGTGAAAGCTCGCGCTGCAGAACCCACGATCCTGGGTTCAATCCCCGGCCCTGCCCGTTTCGATCTGGATGAGCATTGTACCGGTGTGCGGTCGTGTATCACTACTGCGTGGTGCACGTTAAAGACCCCAGGCTAGCGGTCGTACTGCACTGGCTAAATTGCTCATCTGAAGCACCCGACGCCCACTGAGGCAGACTAACTTCCGGCTGTATAAACATACACACAACAATTTGGAAATCAAAGAAATTCTTTTGTCTTATTTTGATGCCAATTGCCTGTTTAAAATGAAGTTTTCCTGTACGTTCCTTGAAGAAAAAAAAAATGAGTAGGCAAGGGGCTAAAAAAATACTAAACCTAGCAGGGAAAAAATAATTTTTTTTTCCTACCTAATTAGGACAGGTATATCTGAAAAATAATGTTTGACAAAAAAAAAATTTTTTTTTGCCCAATATTTTTGCTACAATACGCATTTTTTGATTTGCGGGCAAAACTGAAACTGTACCCTGTGGGATGATGATGATAGCATTTGTACCCACCTAGGCTGTGTTCCAAAATTCACTCGATCCGACTCCGGAGTAAAGGTTTTGTACCGTGGCATTTCAAAACTTGCTTGCGCTTACTTGATGACGTCAGAACCTGCGTTCCAGAAGAGGGTTGATTACTCTAGAGTAATTACTCACGCTACCCCCCTCAATCAGCGAGTAACTTCGGATCAAATCGAGTAAACACGTCACATGATCTGTTCACCGTCTGCTTGTTGTCTGCTTTCTGCGCCCACAGCCACCAAAGCTCGATTGCTCTGTTGTCTTTGGTGGCAAACGCTCGAAATGACAGAGAATCAGGTGCAGCCATTTATGTGTGGTTATTGTGATTTGCTGTTTTCAACGTACAAATCGACTGTGCCCCACATCCAGACCGTGCACCTTCCTCAGGAAGGTATACTTCTCATTATTATTAAAATGCGAATGTAAACAGGAGTTTCTTCTCATCATCGTCCTCGGCGTTTGAGGGAACTCGTATTCTTACGTTCAAGGTTGAAAATCTTCGAACGCAGTAGATGATGTGGAAGTATTTTTTAATTTTTTCGTAGAGTCTGTGTAATGAGAAGAAAACACTTGTAGCTGTGAAGGCTTCGAGGATTTTATGTAAATGACCAGTCAACAAACCTCACCCCGTCTCCCTCCCCAAGAAATATAGCAGTGTGGAAATTCTCTTTGTGATTTTGTAATCACATTCACGTCAAAGCGATCGTAAGTTACATATACAGTCAAACCTTGATGTAACAAACTTCGATGTAACGAAACCCCCGATGTAACGAAATACATACCTTTTTCTAACCGTAAGTGTATGCACGCCATGTATTTTTGACCCCCATGTAACGAAGTCCCATTTGCCGAAGTTTTGATGTTACTAAATTTCGTGGACTATTTGTCACAAACCTTTGGGTCCCAAAGGAGATTTTGGGAAGCACACGTGCTGAAATGGACCCCCGATAAAGTGCAAAGGGTGAAACGGGCTGAATCTGGCGAGTGGGGTGTACAGAACGGCTACTAGAGGACACTAGAGCCGCGCCGTTTCGTTCATCAGCTTCGTTCATGCTGCGTAGTTCGTTACGAGGCCTAACTAAAAGCATGCGTTTCTCATTGTCCTGGGCGATGGAGCCTTGAAGGCGATGGAGCTGCCCCTAACAACGTTGACCTCGACGACTTTCTATATGCCGACTCTGCTGTCATTGCGACGGAGGAGGTGAACGACGAGGCGATAGCTAGCGATGTTTGTGGGAACTCTCAAGACGGGGACGACATCGAGCCTGATGAGCAAGACATCTGCTATGTGCCTAGTAACTAGGGATGCTGCAAACCACCCTAGGTTCGAATTCGAAAGGTTTCGATATTTTCGAGCCGAACTGATGTTCGAATTCGAAATGTTTCTATATTTTCGGCTGTACGGAGGTTCGAATTCGAAAAATTCGCAACTTTCAAAAATCATGGAATGCGAATTTGAAAAGTTCGAAGCTTTCACGGTTTCTTAAAGTTCGGGTTTGATTATTTTGAATATCTTTTTACTTGAAGTTTGAGAAATTAAAAGATTTCAAACTTTCCTAAAGGCGCGTTCACACTCTTGCAACCGAGTACGACCGAGAAAGACTTCTTGGGACCGGATGCGCTGAGCGGAGCTGGTCCTAAGAGATCGCAAGAGGCTTAAAAACCGGTTTGGTCTCTCTCGGTCGTACTCGGTTGCAAGAGTGTGAACGGACCTTAACTTGAAAATTCAAGAGATTCGAATGTTTCGAATTTTTTTTTTTTTGGATCTGAAATTCAAACGTTTTGAATTCTTATAGACATGAAGTTCGATAAATTCGAAGACATCAAATTTCTTTCTACATAAAGTTCGAAAAGTTTGAAAGTTTCGATTCTCTTTTAGGGCTAAATTAGAAAAAAAAAAAATACTTCGAAGGTTTCGAATTTTTTCAAGTGCACAAAGTTCGAAGTCCGGTTTTCATGTTCCGCCACAGTTTCAGTTTCAAATAACGTTTCACGCCTCACTGTTTTTCACGAAATCAGGTTTAGAAAAGTTCGGGTGTGATATTTAGACTGCGCGAAGTTGGTCAGGCAATTAAATGAGACGATGAGTGTCCCGGATGTGCTGGAATATTTGCCGGTGCAGAGTGACGTGTGACCATAGATCAGTAATTGTGACCGCCAGCCCGGGCGGGGTCATTAACGTGCATCACGAAGTAGTGATCACACGAACACACTGTTTAACGATACTCATCCAGTTCGAAACGACCAGGGGCACGCAGGTGGTTGAGGCTCAGAAAAACCTTGAAGCGATCTGGCAAACTACCTCCCTACCCCCTTGCACGCTGGTAGTAATCCTATCGAACGCCGCCTGAGTGGTGCTGGCATATAGTAAATTTAGTTTGTACATGATGCAAAATCCTGAGACTGGGAATGAAATTGGAAAAAAAAAGTGTAAGAGGACAGAAAAAAGGGGGCAAGACAACGCCTCAAACTCAACTCTGGGAATGAAATTTGAAAGAAAAAGTATAAGAAGACAGAAAAAATTACCCCATCTCTGCGTGGTGAATGATGTTGATTGGGGCGAAGCTCGGGTGGTGCTGATGATTCTGATTTTGGTCATAGGTAGTGCTGATGATGCCGTTTTCATTCATGTCAGTAGGAGAATGTGTGGTTTTCTTTTTTTTCTTTTTTAAAGAAGACAGACGGGATGGCATCTCAGAACCCCCTACTCTTTTTTTTCTTCTTTTTCTTGATACTGATTTTGGTCATAGGTAGTGCTGATGGTGCCATTTTCAATCATGTCAGTAGGAGTACTGTGTTCTAGAGAGTTGTAGTGGCAAGAGCGGCGGCCACCGCGTGAAGATTTTGCGCGTAGACGACACCGTAGCGCTGCTGTTCTGAGCCCTAGGAACTGTGGCAAGACACTTGAATAAAGAAGAACGAAGCGCTGGCAACACACGCGCTTCATGTCTAGAGCCCAGCGTACATGGCCTCGTCTCATCCTTTGTAGATATTGCTACAGGAATGTGTCCCCGTAAGCCTCGTCGTCGGTGCTGCTCAACGTGTACTACTGTGGTTCGACTGGAGTTTTTCGCGACGCAGAAAAAGCGCTAATGTGAAAAAAATGTAGGTTTTTCTTTGCACTAATGCCTCTAGAGGTTTTTCTTTGCACTAATGCCTCTACTTTTATTATTCGCATGTTTTTGATGGAGATCATTTGATTAATATCGACCCCCCCCCCCCTCTTCCCAGTACTGACAGGTCGTTCAGCAACGCTATCACTTCGGCTGCACGCTTAATAGCTGCGAAATAAACCACGCGATACTGATATAACGA